CCCCACCCCTAAACCTATACCCATCACAGTGACGTCACTCACTCCATTGAGTCTGACATTGCATCGCTGAGTGATGCAATCTCAGCTTGCATCATAAAGGCTAAATCCAGATACTATTGAAAATGTTTGCTTGAGTATTAGGTTTTCTTGTATATATATATATATATATATATATATATATATATATATATATATATATATATATATATATCAGGGTGTAAGATGAAAGTGCTGAAGTGCAGAATGTTGTTACATAGGTTGTTAGCCAATATTGATGATATATAGGATAGAGTAGATCATAGATATGTGCATTTAAAATCTAGTCGCTATTTGAGGCTAAGAGAGCTCTAAAGCACTACAAGTAAAGAAAACTCATGCAAAAAGAAAAAACACTGACGGATTTAGAAAAAAATCATTAGTTGAGAACACATAATACAGAAAAAAGAATATTCACAACACATGCAAGCACAGAAACGCACTGCAAATAGTGCAGATTACAAGATGTCGGGGAATCCCAAAAACTCATGAACCCGGCTGCTTCTTGTTTAGAGTCAGCAGTATTGTCAGAGATCTGAGTTTTTGTTTATTTTAATGTTTTAATGTTCCTTGTTGCTTGTTTATCTTAGCCATATGTAGCAAAATTAGCCCTTATGGAATTATAAATAAATAATCATAATTTATTTAATTAAAAAAAATGAAAAACTTGTTTTAGATAACACTATAGATTATAGATAATCTCAAGACTAATATATTCATAATGAAAATTAAAAAAAAAAGTGTCATTTCTTGTTGCACACCATTAAAAAAATGCAGGGTTCCACACATTCAGTCATGTTGGCACAACACAAATCGATTAAGTTAGCTTAATACTTTAAACAAGTTTATGTGGATTGAACATAAAAAATTAAGTTGTCCCAATGAAATCTCAAGAATTGTGTTGTTTCAGCCCACTTTAAATAAGCAGTTTGAACAAGTAAAAAAAAAAAGTATATATATATTTTAATGCAAGCATATGCAATTAGCTGATGGCTGCAGTTCATTATATGGCGACTGGTGTTACTAATATCAAGGGTTTATAAATTCTATATATACCTTTAAAATTGTTATTTTACAAACAAAGTTTCAGCTCTTTAAACCGAGTTTGTTTAAAGCAGTGTTTCTCTAACATGTTTCTGGAGGATTACATTTTTTATGGCTGTGTCCGAAACCACCTACTCAATAGGTACTGCAATTGAATTTAAACGTACTACTCGGCTGTTAGCAAAGTATGTTCTACACAGAATGAATGTGAAAAGTATGAGTGGAATTCGGACGTACTACATCCGCCGTTTTGTCATGGTCATGTGACTTACCTGCGTCAGTTGCATTGCTTCACTCCCATTCATGAATTCTCTTGCGGGAAATCATGAGATAGCGCAGCATGCATGGGATGCGAACTCCAGAATCTCACCGGAAGTAGTAAGTCATCTGGGTACTTCTCCTATTGATTTTTGAATTCTATGAATTCGGACATACTACTCGGCTCGCATACTGATTTTAGTGTACTGGAAGTATGCGGTTTCAGATGCAGCCCATGTTTCCTTAACCAAACACACCTGATTCAGATCATCAGCTCATTAGTAGAGACTGAAAGACCCTTAATGGGTGTGACAGACTAAGGGAACATCCAAAACATGCAGTGTTGTTTGATTTTTGATCCCTCAGGCCACACTACATAAAAAAAACGTCATTCATCTATAAGTGATAATACCACATGGGCTCAGGACTACTTTGGCAAACCTTTGTCAAGTACCACAACACAAAGTTACATCCACAAATGCCAGTTAAAACTATACTGTGCCAAAAAGAAGCCCTATGTTAACAGTGTCCTAAAGCGCCATCTACTTACAGTATCTGGGCTCTGAGGCATCTGGGATGGACCATCACAAAATGGAGACGTGTACTGTGGTCAGATGAATCTGTATTTCAGGTATTTTTTGGGAGAAATTGACGCCATGTGTCTCGGACCAAAGAGGTAAAGGATCACCCAGACTATTATCAGCAACAAGTCCAAATGCCAGGGACTGTCACGGTATTGGGTTGTGATCTTGGCAAAGGTAACTTGCACATGTGTGATTGCTCTATTGATGCTAAAAAGTACCTAGAGATTTTGGAGCAAACTCTGCTACCTTCTTTTCCAGAATTGCCCATGCATAGTTCAACAAAACCATGCAAAACCACATTCTGCACCCATTACAAAGTACTGACTGCCGAGAAGGATGATACTGGCCTGTCTGCAGTCCTGACCTGTTTCTAATAGAGAATGTGTGGTGCATTTTGAAGCGCAAAATGCGACAATGGAGACCCCATACTGTTGCCCACATTAAGACTTGTTTGCAGGAACAATGGAACAAAATTACACATGAACACTTCATCACTTGGTGTCTTCAATCCCTGAATGTTTTTTAAGTGTTGTGAAGAGAAATGGCAACATTACTGTGTGGTTAATGCTTCACTGTTCCAACTTTTTGAAATGTGTTGCAAAACTGAAAATTGAATTATGTGTTTATTTTGAAAAACAATAAAAATCACGAGGAACACAGTAAATTATGCTTGTTGTATTGGAAGCAATGAAATACAAGTCAAAGTAAATTTAGAAATTACTACTTTCTTTCTTTATTTGTGTTTCCATTACTGTCACAACTTTATCTGATTTGGGGTTGTGACTCCAAGAATTCTACCATCAATCAGTTCTGATCACGTTGTTATGTTATTAAAATAAGCTAAGTATTTGTTTCAGCTTACTGTTTTAAAGATTTAGCTTCATGTTTTGTCATGTTAATGCAGTGTACCCAGATAGCATACGAATATGGGCCACTTTTAGCAGTTATGTGGCTCTGGTAGTTTTCATTTGGCCCAGACAAAATGAATGTGAGCCTGAAGTGGCCCACCTTGTACAATGGTAAAAGGGGGACAAAGATTCCAATTCATACACGGGTCATTTAAGGCAAAGTTTTGGCACTTATAGCAAAATGTATAATTTGAATGTGAGCCTAATGTGGCCCATGTGGAAAATGATAAATTTGGCCACAGTTGGCAAAAATGTGGCATAGTCATTTGAGGGTAATCTGGGTCTAAACCTAAAGTGGGTCATACGTGTAAGTGCAAATGTGGCCCAGTTATCTTAAGACATGTGTGCTATGTTTAGCAAATATTTGGCACAGTAAGCTTTGACTAATGCGGTTGTAAGCCTAATGTTGCCCAGAGAAAATAGGGCAAATGTGGCCCAGTTATTTTAAAACATATGTGCGCCACTTCTGGCAAATATTCAGCACAGTAAACTCTGGCTAATGCGTCTGTTAGCCTAGAGGGGCCCAGAGAAGATATGGAAAGTGCCCACAGTAAGCTGTGTAGGGCCAGACGCAATCTGCCAATGTTTTTGGCTATCTCTGCTGAGAATTTTGGTAAAAATCTGCGGATTTCTGTGAAATTAATTTGGGAGTATTGTAACCAAAACCTTAATATGTGAAATAAAAAATATAATATTTTAAACTTTTATTTAATGTTTAAAATGCAAATCCAATTAGATTTACTTTATTTGGTAAACAATACAAGTCTCATAATATCTCTACTAAACGACAAAAAAATATTACTGTACAAACTGCATTGCACATAAATCAGATGGACATTTTCATTGTAGTCAATAATATTACTGTAATTAGTTTAAACACTGAATAAATATAGATTTACACACATTTACTCAAGTAAATAAACAGATTTAATGATGGGCTACAAATCTGCGGAAATCTGTGCGTGCAGATTTTGTATGGGCCTATGGGTAAAGAGCATTTGAGTCTAAAGTGGCCCAGAGAAGATATTGTAAATGTGGCCCGGTTATCCTAAAACAAATGTGGGCCACTTTTGGCAAATATTTGCCACAGTAAGCTCTGGAGAAGCTCTATAGAGAAACATAGACTACAACTGACTTGTCAAAGCTTTGTAATGAAATCAACTGAAGTACAACAAATTATTAAATCACAAAAAAAAAAAAAAAATAAAATCAGCAGAAAGTTAAAGCACTCCACAAACAGCATTACCAGCTACACTTACTACTAGCTTGTTTAATTTTGTCTAACATTACACAAAAGTTCTACTTGAGATAAAACTTTACATTTAATGTCACCATCATGGAGAAAATTTTTGCTTTAGTTGGGCTCATAGTCCTAAACCTATTAATATAAATTTCTTACGGGGTGCTGTAACTTTTAAGAACTTTGTTTGAAAAGTTTTATTTGTTACAGCAAACAAGCCAAGTAAATAAGTCAAAAAAAAAAAAAAAAAAAAAAAAAAAACATCAAGTGATGCTAATTTTGTTTTAAGTGAGGTACAACCTGTGATGAAATGTTATAGTTAACTGATGTTAACCAATGTTTAATCCATTATTAAAATAACGTGCTGGTTCATTTGATTGAATTCTGGCTGATATTTGATTTTGCTATGGCTTAATTGTGGCCCAGATCTGGCAAACAGGAGCGGACCGCCCAAGTGCCATCATTCCATGCGGTGTGGGGGCCGGATGTAGGTGTCTGGTGTGGACCAGATTTGAGCCACATAAGTTTTTGTTAGTTAAAAAGAGACATTTTTAAATTAAAAGTAAGTCTGTGTTATTTACAGTTACATAATGTATGTAATATATTTTATATTTGCAATTACATACAGTTCAGTAATGCATTACCATACATTTACTAGGCATACTGGTACTATTCTGTAAAGATAGTAGGCAAAAAAAAAAAAAAGTATGTGTGTGTGTGAGTGTGTGTGTGTTAAATCTTGTTACAAGGTGTAAATACATTACACGTTTTTATATTATTACTCATCCAATTTATTTAGAAATGTGTTACTATGCTATGAACCTGATTATGACAGCTTTCATGATGGCCATGAAATCACGCGGACCTGTAGACACGCCTCCAAACCGTGGCCGTCCAATCTGCACAGGGCACAATCGCCAAGTTGTTCCTGGAACGTCATCGGGAATCTGGTGACTGAAGATTACGTGGTGAAGTTAGTTAGCCAGTTGCTAACCCCGACAGAAACAGCACCACAGATGTAACACCTGGAATTATACACATCTGCGTTAAATGTCAGTTTCCATTACGATGAACATCACTTCCGCGAGGGTTTATGGAGTTTTTACGGTATGTTCTCTCCTGTCTGGTTTGTTGATTTGGTAAAGGAGAATCACGAGAGCTAACATTAGCTTGCTCTGTTTACAGCTGATCTGGTTCTGCCTTGTTGTGCGTTGTTAAAAGGACAGTTTTATAGATGATGCTGATGCCATTCACTGCCAGCATGGAATGGATGAATAGTTTTGACTTAAACTTACGTCACAGTTAAAACCTGATACCGATGAGCTATCAGCAAATATAGCATGTCAAGCAGTGTAAACATTGAGGCTTTTTAGCCATATTATATTATACGTCAATAAAATGCATCAGAATTTAATGTTTTGAATACAAATTTGTTTTTAGATAACTATTTGTCAGTGTCTTTCTTAAAAACAACGTATCTGTTTTCAAATGACTGTTTGGTATACTAGTTAATCCCATTAACAATATGAAAATGAGGAATATCTCATAATACAGATATATCTGCTATGTTATTGAGGTATTGAGTTTTTTTTTTCGTGCATTCTGACTTTCTCCTAAATAATATAATTTCAGAAAATTATTCTTTTCAAATTCTAAATAGGGAAGTCCTTTTAGCAGCAAATGACTAGTGATTACCAAAATGCAGAATTTTTCGCAGTTAATTCAATAGGGCTGATTTCAGACCCGTATCCAGCCTGGTGAAAGGGGTGGTTTTTTCCTCAAAATGTGGAACTTTTTACAGTTATTCGCCTACATTTTTATTCACCTATCTAGTTTGGAATGCACTCAGAATATCCTTGCAGCGCCTTTGCCACCACCAAGTAATGCCTCAACAGCTGCTCCACAACCACTCAGAACACCCTAGCAACCACCTAGCAATGACTCCACACACCCTAGCAACAGTCTAACATAGCGCTGGGCGATATAGGCAAAAAATCTTATCCCGGTACTTTTTTAGAGGAATGATGACAAAGATGCAAGATAGTCAGAGCAAAAAAGGAGCACACTTAAATAGTAACACAACAAAAAGTGCTGTATGTTAGAAAATAACCACAATAAATGTAAATATAAAACACAGTATTTTTTACAGTTACCGTGTTGTTAAAATCAATCCTGTATACCACATTTGTGTGACTTTTATAAACAACAATTAAATCAACTGTATATGTCTTTAGTTACATATACATGTATGTATTGTACACAATTATTAAACAGTGCACATATTGAAGATATCTAAAGAGAAGTCTTTGACTCATTGTAAAAAATCCTAAGCTTTTTCTTTTGTTTTGACTAAACTTGTTTAATAAATATTAAAAAAGGAGATGAAAACGAATAGACTATAGATATGAGAAGTAACAAAATTGTTTCAGAGTACTGTGATGAAATGCTGGTCATTATAACCGACCAGGGGTCCGTTCTTCGTACCTCGCTTAAATGATCTAAGATGATTTGGCAGATCCTGGATCTGTTCATCTTGATAACTGATCTCTGGCTAATTTGGTTCTTCAAACAAGTTCATGAATCAGATTAAAATGTCTGGATGAGCTGATCTGAGATTGCTGCGTGTGTTGTGAAGGACAGATCTATCGATCCTCGAAATCATGATCAGCAATGCAACGATTGGCTGACGGCAAAGCAGCGTAATGAGATCGTCTGATTAACATTCAATTATCCATGTGAGCAAAATTACATAAAATTAGCAGTAATCGGTTATCAACATTTGGTGTACTTTCATTATTATCTTTGCTTGAACTGACCCATTATAATCCTGTTTATATGAATTGAACTTGCTCCCGACCAGATTTGAGCTAGCAGAACTGTTGCTATGACAACAACTCGGATCAGTTTTGAAGAACGAAACGATCCTGCATTGTGTAAATTCGTCAATATCCAAACCGAGCTAACTGAGTAATCCACGTGCGAAGAACGGACCCCAGAACGCAGAGCTAAATGTGTTATAACTTAGATGTAAAGAAGAGGCCGCCGTGTAATAAATACTGAACTTATCATCAGTGAATACAAGGTGGTTTCACTTTCGAAATGCGGTATAAATTCGTCCTATTTTGGCGTTTTTAATTCTTTTTAACACATTTAGGTGCTGCTTGTCATAAAAGGTTTGCTTGTCATAAAAGGTTTATATTTATATTTATATATATATATATATATATATATATATATATATATATATATATATATATATATATATATATATATATATATATATATATATATATATATATATATATAGTAGGAATTTTACAAAATATGAATGGAACACGTTCCCAGTGCAACATAAGACAAGTATTTTTCGTTGTCAGTTTAGCCTCATTGTTAAGTGTTAACAAACAATAAGCCTATAACATTGCATAGCATTTTTTGTGCATATTGTAGGTGTCATTAACATGGAAATGTTCACGTTTGATAACAGGCTATTTATAAAAATAATAATTAACAATTTTATTTTATATGGTGTGTTTAGAATAGCATCTCTATTGCTGCACGATATTGATTTTTTATTTTTATTTTTTTGCAGAAAATGTGTTTTTCTGCTATTTAGATTGCAAAATCAATACAATTTCACTAGATGACTTGAATAGCTCAATTAGGAAAGACTTCATAATTTTATATTGATTGTGTTGATTTTGTAGGACAGCTAATTATGTAATTCAGGTATATTTAATCAGATGTAATTAGCGTCTAATTAAATAATCAAATGTAAATAAATAACACTCCATACATCGTTTGTTCAGACTACTTATTTAAAATGAGCAGAAATGACTTAATGCTTGAGATTTTTCGGTGACAACATAATTGCTTAATGTTCAATTTAATTTGTTAAGTAAACTTAATCTCAGTGCTGCATTTGACACTATCGATCACAGCATACTTCTGGATAGGCTGGAAAACTGGGTTGGGCTGTCTGGCACGGTCCTCAAATGGTTTAGATCTTACCCTGAAGGTAGAGATTACCATGTCAGTATAGGTGACCATAGGTCGAGGTGGACACCCATGACATGTGGAGTCCCACAAGGCTCGATTCAGGCACCTCTCCTGTTTAACCTTTACATGCTCCCTCTGAGCCAAATAATGAGAAAAAAGCAAATCTCCTACCAGTCATTGCGTTTGGGAACAGAGATGAGGTTCTCAAGGTGAATGTGTACCTACTACCTTGGCACTAAGGGTCAAACAACAAAAAACAAGGTCAAGAATCTTGGTGTGACTCTGGAGTCAGATCTGAGTTTCAATAGTCATGTCAAAGCAGTTAGTAAATCAGCATACTATCATCTCAAAAACATTGCAAGAATTAGATGCTTTGTTTCCAGTTAAGACTTAGAGAAACTTGTTCATGCTTTTATCAGCAGCAGGGTGGATTACTGTAATGGACTCCTCTGGTCTTCCTAAAAAGACAGTCAGACAGTTGCAGGTCATCCAGAATGCTGCGGCCAGGATTCTGACCAGAACCAGAAAATCAGAGCACATTACACCTGTTCTCAGGGATTTACACTGGCTCCCAGTTACATTCAGAATAGATTTTATGTTTTATGTTTTTTTTTTAATCATTTTTATCATTTGTTTTTATTTTTTCTCTTATGCTTGTTTATTTTATTCTTGTTTATGTAAAGCACTTTGAATTGCCACTGTGTATGAAATTTGCTATATAAATAAACTTGCCTTGCCTAATCGATTTGTGTTGAGAGGACATAAATGAATTGTGTAGAACCCTGCATTTTTTACAGTGTAGTGTTTATTTTGTAAAAATAATTAATCTTTAATAAATTACAAGTGTTAAAAATTCTTATACACAAGTGGTTTAAACACGCTTAAAATCTAAGAGACGTAGGTCTTTAAAAGCAAAGTAAACAAGCAAATGAAAAAGTTTCATTTTTAAATAATAATTAAATCTGTAAAATAATAATTAAATATTCACAACACTTTGAAGTGCCCACAATATCATGCATGTTTATTATCGTAATTCATTCATTTTCTTTTTGGCTTAGACCCTTTATTAATATGGGGTCGCCACAGCGAATAAACCACCAACTTATCCAGCACATGTTTTACGCAGCGGATGCCCTTCCAGCTGTAACCCATCATGGGAATCATTATAGCAATGTATTGTATCATTAAATTGAATATTGGCGCATGTGTAATACTAATGTTGTGATCGTCTTCATAGAGTGAAGGCAGCAGAGAGTAACACCAGGATGAAAACTGCATGTGCCGGGGTGGATATAACAAGTTCTGCATTACGAGGACCCTAAAAAGTGTCTCTGACATTCGGAAAGGCATCTAAAACAGTGCTTAGACTTGGACTACATCTACACCTACAGAGATGTTTGCAAAGTTGAAGAAGAAGCTGGCAGAGGAGGCCGCCACTGCCCCTCGATCAGGACGTATCCCTCGCTCCATGAGCAAAGAGTCCATCACTTCTGTGGGCGCAGATTCTGGAGACGATTTTGTGAGTAGATATTTTTGGAATTTCATATATTCTGATCTTTAATACAGTTATGAATCTTTGTGATGGGTAGACCGAGTTAGTTGCTCGATCTGTTTTAAAATGAACCTAATGCACAGTGAAAAAAAAAAAGTAAAATTACTCCTATTTGTTGAATTATGTTTTTTAATAACTTTTAAAAATGTATAATAAACTTACACCCAAGCTTATTGGTACTGCTTCCAAGGTGCGCGTTCAGCAGCCACATTTTAATAAAACTATAGCGCATCATACTGAAACTTTATACCGAAACTTCCTGCAATCTGGAAAAATTTGATCCATTATAGGTTCTAAATGTTGATTTCAATTAATGTTTGATTAATCGCCCAGCCCTAATATGTATTATTTAATTTCCCCCGCCCAGAGCAAATGCACAGTTTAAACCAGAATGCAAATATGAAACCGTAATTATTAACTATAAGAAAATTTATTGTGATTTACCTGTTATCATGACAAAATTATTTTGAAGGCCCTTTGGTTTCCATATAGAGGAAAAGCAAGACCAGAATCACAGAATCCTGTCATAAGTAAAGAAAATATTTATTGTGGAAAGTCAAATAAAGCAATTATTTATCGTGGAATGTCAACTAAAGCAATTATTTATTGTGGAAAGTCAACTAAAGCAATTATTTATTGTGGAAGGTCAATGATTTGAGTAAATTCTATATGAATAATTAAAAAAAATATCACTGTAATCAAACTGCGATGTGAACTAATGTCTGTGAATATTAAACTCAAAAAAGAGTCAGAATTATCAGCACAGCACCTCTGAATTATTAGCCCCCCATTTATTTTTTCCCCCAATTTCTGTTTAACGGAGAGATTTTTTTCAACACATTTTTCAACATACTAGTTTTAATAACTCATTTCTAATAACTGATTTATTTTATCTTTGCCATGATAACAGTAAATAATATTTTACTAGATATTTTTCAAGACACTTTTATAAAGCTTAAAGTGACATTTAAAGGCTTAACTAGGTTAATTAGGTTAGCTAGGCAGATTATGATAATTAGACAAGTTATTGTATAATGATAGTTTGTTCTATAGACTATCGCAAAAAAGGAAAAAAAAATAGCTATAATAATAATCTGATAATTTTGTCCCTAAAATGGTTTTCAAAAAATGTAAAACTGCTTTTATTTTAGCCGAAGTAAAACAAATTACTTTCTTTTAAAAGAATTTCCTCCTCGTTCACACATCATTTGGGAAATATTTAAAAAAGAAAAAAAAATCTAGGGGCTAATAATTCTGACTTCAACTGTATGTTTGTGACAAAAACCAATGTATTGTACCTCCTAGTATTGTCACATGGAAATTACAGTTACCCTCTTCAAACTCAAAACTTTGCTAAATTACTTTTCTAGCACTTATTTACCATCTAAATAATGTTGATTTTCAAAATAAAATCTGACTAAACAAATAAATAAATAAAAAAATTAATGTGAAAAAGGTAGAAAAATACCTTGTGAAGAAGTCAAAATAAAAAATAAGCTGCTATATTTTTGATCACAAAAACAGCATGGCCCTAATAAAATCCCATTATACTTCTGTTTCAAATGATTGTTTTCTATAGTATCCATTCTAGTGAAAGTTGTATGCTTATGGCGCAACGACTTTGCACAGCATTGACATGACTGCTTAACGGCTTAATGGCAAAACAGTGAAATCTAGAAGGAGCTAAATATTATCACATGCTTTGACAAACCAGTGTAACCTGACACTCTTGTCCTCTAGCAATCAATGGTGAACACGCTCAGGGTTAGGTTCAGGTTGGCTTTCACTCTAAATAATTCAAACTGAAGCCTTGGTGGAGAATAAGAAGATCGGTTACACTTCTAAATCAAAGCCAACCTTATAGGTGTTTTAATAAAAGCACATATAACTTAAATGACTTGGCATCGTTATTTGTAATATAAGCATTATTACAAACATATTAACAGGTTATGTATTTGTGAAATAAGTAATATTACGTATTTGTACTTTGTTACGATCCTTGATGGCAATTTGTCTAGGGTATTAAAAGGAGTAACATAAAGATGACCAAAGTATAAACTGATGTTGAATAATGGCAAAAGAAACACCAAACAAAAAATTAGCACCGCAAAAGATTTATGGCTCCCACATGATTTACAATATTTACAAACAATAATATAAAGGTGAAAAGAACCAAGACAAATAGGAGAGGGAACTGAAGTTTGCGCATGCAAATCAAAGAAATAAATCCAAAACATTCCCTTAATCTCTTCCCCAATCCACTAAATAAAAAAATAACAATATGAAAAGAAAAGTCTTCAGCGCAAAGCGCCCTGAACTTACTCTAACTAATAAATAAAAATACAAAATTAGCGCACTTCGCTAACTAGTGTGTCTATACATCAATAATCCTGCGTGCAAATATGTATGTCACGTGACTTACTATGTTGTTCCAGATCTCCCTTGTCAAGTCACAGAAGGTTTTGAATGGAGCATTAGCGGGCTATAGATGTAGAAACACACGTCAGAACTCTCAAACAAATCTCACTCAAAGTCATCAGTTAATCTCACTCAAAGTCAACATCAATAAATCTCAATCAAAGTACACATCAGTAACAGCGATAACGCACACCGACACCACCAAACAGACAACACGCCAAAACAACAACAGCTGATTTCTCCCCGTTGCCGCTTCCGTTTTTAAAGGGCTCTGCAACGAACGCGATTGGCAGAGAGGGAAGTCATCGTCACACGGTTGATTAGGATTGGCAGTCCTATCAGCCAATAGTGCTTCAAAGTAGGCGGTACCTGAGAAAATGACAGGGCTGGTACAGAAAGAGAGAGAGAAAGAGATCGAGACAGAAAGAACATACACACAGCAAAAAATGTGCGGTTTGTAACAACTTCTAAAGCATGTTTCATTATGCCTGTAATTTCTCCAATATTAGTGTTTTTGTGTTTTTCAGAATTCTTGGTGTTGGCTTATTTACAAATTTCCCTGGTTGCAAATAAAAAATGTCATCATTTGCTCACCCACATGATGTACCAAAGCCATAACGCTTTCTTCTGAACACAAAAGGAGATTTTGTTATAAGAGATTTCTGTCGTTTTATTAAAGCGATCAGTTTGACTCAAGAGTTTAAATCCAATTTTTTAAATGCTTTCTTGTTGCGTTGATGTGACTGTAATTATACATTTTATGGGTGGGCATATATACATTTTTTTAAATCTAGATTAATCTCACTGTAATCTTGGAATTATTCTAGATTAAAATGGCTCATTTAAAATCTGCCGAAGGCATTCAGAATATGTGTGCTACCCAAATAATAAGTCTTTGAGAATGTGTTTCTCTAGCTAGGTGGCGCATTAGACCAGGGGCTCATCTCCTCTTTCCAAAATGCATCACAAACTGCTTGAGAAACTGTTCTACTATGATAATTGGTGATGGAAATAAATGATAGTCAATAAGATGTACTTGTGTTTACTAACTGTTTATTCAGTTCATACTATTCATACTAACTGTTTATTCCTGACTTTTGAGGTGTAGGTCTACATTAATTTGAAACAGCGATTTATTTATTTTTTTGATTACCTTAATCTGACTAAATTCATAACTGAACTAAACAGAAATGGAATTAAGACATGGAGTATGCATATATATGTGGCATTATTAAAGTAAACACCGGAATCAAACTAGTAGGACTTTTTGTAGGACTTTTCGCCACATTTTCCAACAAGGTCCACACACGCGGCTGTCAGTTAAGGACCACATAGGCACGCACGTGTCTATAAATCACTAAAGGGCCTAGGACTTCAATACATTACAGATATGCTCACTGAATACAAACCTAATAGATCACTCAGATCTTTAGGATCATATAAACTATAAATTCCAAGTGTTCAGTCAAAGCAGAGTGAATCAGCTTTCAGCCACTACGCCCCGTGCTGCTGGAATCAGCTTCCAGAAAATGATCCAGCTGTTATCCAACATTAGGCACATTCAAATCGAGACTGAAAACACATCTGTTTAGCTGTGCCTTTACTAAATGAGCACTGTGCTACGTCCGACAGATCATTCTTTTATAACCTGTTTTAACACATTTTAAACTATATGTAGTCTATATGTATGGAGTGTATCATGTGTCCCTTTTTTGAGTGGATTTATAAACTTCCAGTAGCTCAGTGGTTAAGTGACTCGCCTTTCGCGCCAGAGACCCAGGTTCTAGCCCAGAACCTGACAGGAGTGTATCAAGTGTATATAATGTGTGTACCCATTTAAATCTGTTTTTAATCATTTCTAATTATTTGTTTTTATTTTCTTATGCTTGTCTTTTTTATCCTTGTTTATAAAAAACACTTTGAATTACCAATGTGGGAAATGTGCTATATAAATAAACTTGCCTTTCCTAATTTCTACAATTCAGCATAAATTTGATGCACTAAATTAAGTAACTGATTTATGTTCAATGACTTGGAAATCCATCCCTGATCTTGGCTTGATAAATTATATATATATAATTAGAATAAGTGCATTTAGAAATATTAAATTAATGATAATGCACGTTTAAATTATTTGATTATTTAGGTTCTATTTCTTGAATGTTTATTTTAAAAATATATTTATTTAATTTTTTATGTTTGTTCTGTTGTCTTTTGTTTTGTTGTCTGTGTGTATTTTGTCCTTATGTTTCATATCGAAGATGAATAAAGAACTTTTATGAATAAAGAACTATTATTAATAAAATAATTGGAGTAAAAGATGAATCATGATTCATTAGAAGACTTATTATCGACATCAAGAATCCTTTATCGGTATTAAATAATAAAGAAGTATATAATAAAAAGTACATGTCATGGATGGACATAATGGGCAGAATTGATGCATTCCTATTTTTATTTTTATTTTTTTATTGGTGTTATTAAAGTAATAAATATGTCTGCATTCATCTATATAATTGACTCTCAGGCATCTGATGGCAGCAGCTCCAGAGATGACTTTTCTTCTCAGATCCAGCGCAGAAATGACCAGATACGAAAGCTGGAGGCCAAGCTCTCAGGTATCACCAACACAATACATCAAAACCCATACAAACGCATAAGAGAAAGAGACTGAAAGAGGGGAAAAATATACAAAAGGCCAACACGACAAAATCTTTGAGAAAAGAACAACCCAGGCTCATTGGATATGTGTCCAGAGCTACACTTTTGGGAACCGTGAAATATGTGGCAGAGATAATGTCTGCTTGCAGATTGTTTCCTCCATATCCACTGCTATGTACATTTTTTACAATCTCAAATAGGTTTCTGAGCCACAATTTCTCATATGTGCCATTTGCACTTCCTTCTTGTAAATCTACTAAAGACTTTGGTGCACATTTCTGCAAATCATCCTTCTCACTCGCATTCGCAATAAGCTGTTTGTCTTGACATGATCCATATATAATTTTGCTACTCACCTACCCAGCCCAACCCTAAACCCAACTGATAGTGTTTTCAAAAGCAAAATAGAAGAGGAATATTGCAGTGGCCTTGTTATTTTACCACAATTTCACTCAACCTGGTTTCTGAAACTGTCCTTCTCTAATGATTTGCTTATACCTGGTTTTTAGAACTATCCTTTGTTTGTGTCCCAAATCCAATGCCATACAAGGTGAGCAACTGAGCATACTGACCACGCTGGAAAAGCCATGTATACTCTGGTAATCAACAGTGTGAAAAAATAATAGAAGCAGTTATGGTGTCATACCGCCCTGTACCGTTCATTTTACACACAAAATGCAACCAATGTACCCAGGGAAATATTTCACTGTTCTCAAAAATGTATCCCCAATGAGCCTTTGTTGGGAAAGAAACACCTGCCATTCTAGCTTTTACTAGAGTTGTCATGATACTGGAATTTCATACCAGTTGGTACTGAAGTATTAAAAGCGTCCATTTACCGTGAACAGTTAGGCCTTGTAGAGCATTTTGTTCGTGTGCTCAACAGAAATTACTGTGATTAGCAGTGAAGGTCATCAGTTCACCAAACTCACTGCTTTTTACTCTGTGTAACCACAGATACAGGGACACTGGAGCGTTTCAAAGACACGTCGATCAGCCGGTTTGTCTATAAGCTGACATACGAGCGATTCACTGATGAATTGCAGCTTTAAAACACTCCAGTGTCCCTGTAATCTGTGGTTACAAGCAGCAAACAGCGTTGAGTTTAGTGAACCGATGACCTTTAGGGCTAATCACAGTCATTCCTGTTGAGTACGTGAACACAAAGGCCAATTAGCGCTGTTTAGGAACATGCTCCACCTAGCTTAAATGTTCCCAGCAAATGGACGTTTTTAAAACTTCAGTACCTTTGGTATCGAATTGTATGGAATGAAATTCACGCATCTGTAATTATAAAAATGTAAAGAAAAACAGAGCGTACTCGTAATTTTCCGAGAGTACAATTCCAAAATCTGCGATTAGAGCAGACACATACATTTTCGATGGGTGTACAATACAAACACAAAATACAGTTTAACTATGGAAACAACAATCTGTTTATGAGTACGAATCAAAAAGCGTCACTCCACTGTCAATTTTACGTCACCTCTGTCACAGGCATTAATAAACAAGCAAGAGCCATCGATCACAATGGTTAAGTGATTCACTGAGAAATTCTGCGCTGCCTGTAATGTTAACTTACATTATGCTCTCTATCCTCAGCCCGTTCTTAATTTTGATTCTGTAAAATGTCCAAGAAGCGCAGCGAAAATGGACCTCATTAATTTTCAACCTTTATTACAGCTCATGACGGACATTTCTCAAAGAGGCAATAACAAAATCTTACCTGAAACGGTGTGTGGGAGCTTGAGTGCCCAGCAAGCCCACTGTTGTGATCGATTGCTCTCGCTAGTTTATTAGCGTAATTTTGACAGTGGAATGACGCTTTTTGATTTGTACTCGTAATCAGGTTGTCCGTAGTGAAACTGTATTTCGTGTTTGTAATTTACTAGGGTTGGGCCGTTAGACGATGCCATCGTCCATCGCTGATGGCCGACAAACTTCACACTGCTGAGCCGGAATCGTTATCCATCGCACAATGGAATTTTTTTTTTACTTCAGCAAGTTCACATAACAACTGTTTTAATCTGTTCCTGAGCACTGGATTTGCCGAAGATGCATTATGCATAAATGTCTCCTAAATCCACGCACGCGGTGAGGGTTTTTGAAAATGTATGCACAAGCACAAATGCTTCCAAATATATTTTAAGGTCGCATAGATAAAATTTTGGGCGCATATCCTACCAAAACGGTCGAGCCCTAGCATCTTTACTTGTTATTACTTCCTCATAATAATAATAATAAAATAAGGAAATTATCATCAATCACAATACAAATTACAGTGAACTCCAATCAAACTCTCATCTCCTCCACCAGCTGTGGGAAAAGCCTTTAGAACGACACAGATCACTGTGCCTATTCATGCCAGAGTCCCGTGGAAAAAAGGGATTGACAGGTGGTCATTTGTGTGTAACTTTATTTATTTGTGGTTTGGTTAAATGTAAAGCAAAGACCATGTGGGTCAGATAGTGAAAACGGTAGTTAATTACCGTTAGAATTAGAATTAGAATTAGAATTAATTGATCAACAACAACCAATAGTTGAACAACAATTACTACCCCCGCTTATGCCATCGTCCATCGTAATGTTTCACATTAGACATCGTACGATGCCAAAATGGTCAACATCGCCCAACCTTATAATGTACACCCATGTTAAATTTATCAGTCGTATGCAAACAGTCCAAGAAAATGTCGTATCTGTGTCTGTTCTAACCGCAGATTTTGGAATAGTACCCTCGCAAAATTACAAGTACGTTTCGTTTTTATTTACGGTTTTATAATTACAGATGCATGAATTTTTTTTTTCTCGCACAAAATATTTATGACAGCGATTTTATTCCATAGAATTCCTGTATCGTGACAACCCTAGCTTATACACTCTTCTCACTTGCCTTTCTTGCATAGTGAATATGTTTCGGTCTGACACCTTCAAATTCTAAACAATTGGCCTGAAAGGAAAAGTATAACAAGGGCAAAAAATTATTGCTGCATTGATCACAGAACAAGCCAGGAATTAATGCTACACTCTAAAAAAAAATGCTGGGTTCTACACAATTGATTTGTTTTATGACATAATAAAGTAATTAAATTTACTCCCTGATTTTTAGATGAATAATAAAAAAAAAATAATAATAATTAAGTTGCCCCACAAAAATGTGTTGTTTCAGCTCAATTTTAATAAGTAGTTTGAACAAACAGCAAATGCAATTTTTTGAGTGCAGTGACTCCAGTGATATAGCCTGGAAAAAAATTGGCATAAATAATGGATACCTGGCTCTCACTATCAGCCCGTCTTGGTTTACAATTACACAGAGGCTGATCTAGAATCTGCTTTAACCCTAAAGGAGCAGATAAGACGCTTGCATAATTGAGCCCATCAGGGATGATGCATTAGCTTAAAGGGCGAAGGTCACCATTTTACAGCCTAGCAATCAGTCTGATTTTCTCATCTCAGAAAATCATTCTGTTTTTTTTTTTTGTCCCTTCCATTTGTTTATCTTCTCAACCATGTTTATCCCTTTGTTTTCTCGTCCCTGTTTTTGTCCCTCCTCATCCTCTGCCTCCCCGCGGTCGTGTGTGTTTGTGTGTGTCGGTTTCCCCAACCCTAGACTACGCTGAGCAGCTTCGGCTAATGCAGAAGACCAAGGAGAAGCTTGAGATTGCATTAGAGAAGTATCAGGATTGTACGTACCGTTCTTTTCCTCCCATTTTCACCTTCCTGCTTTTAGGCTTGCTCTCCTTTCGCTTCGTTTCCCATTCTTTTGTCTGATGCTTTCACACAAACCTCACTCAAATCAAACATTAACTCAGGGCATTTTTGAGCAACGTAGAGACAAAGATGCAGAAATCTGAAGTTGAATTTAGCTTGGTCTGGGTTCTTTTGAAGTTGATATTTACCAGCAGCCTTTAAAATACTCTTAGAGTCAGTTGTATAAATAAATTGTCTTGTGACCATAGATTGTAAAACATATGGACGTAGTATTCGTGATGTCACCCACAGGTTTCTGAACAACGCAAATGAAGCTACAAGTGGACACGGCCAATCGTTGGCAATTTGTTTGTGCGTCATTGTGCTAACCAGGGCTACCAAAAAAGGGCAAAGAGGCATAGGGTGAGCAGAGCAACAGATGCCTGCTAGCCTTTTGAGGGTTTTTGAGTGGGCATGGCCGACAGTGCAGGGGAAAAAGAGTAAGGCGATTCGAACTGTCAGTTGACTCACAAAATGAGACCCAAACCGAGAGGAGACTCTAGTTTTCAAAGTTAAAATGTAAAGAAATAAACAGTAAGTAATGTAATGCCCCGCTACATTTGTCATTCGTAATTTCATAAACACATAACCACAAAATGGTCTATCATTAAAAAGATAATCGTGTTTATATAAACACTATAAATGAGAAGGACTTCTCTCCTCCTCAATCCCCGGGTCTGAATGCTAACACACTGGATAGCAATGCAGTCTCTTGCCCTGTCTACTCCACCCATTAACCCTGCCGATAATCTGGAGGATTTTAAACATGTGCGAACACAGCAGAACGGATAAAGGCTTTTCAATGCTAACCTGATGGTAACGAACTCCACTGATAATAGACAAAGTCCACCACTCTACAGTTCTCGTACAGCTCTCTAGACAAACATTTTTAAATAAAATTATTAAAAACTTTCAAGTATTTAACATGCTGATAACCATTAAACGCGTCATAACAGGCTTGTGAAAAGGGTCCATTGATGCTATTTTGCTCAAATGTCATGATCTTAAATCATAGATACCATTTATAAACACCCAGATCAATATACTGATTAAAACTGGTGATTTTAATCTGGTGATTAAACTGGTGATTTAATTTACAGATTAAAAACTGGTGCATGTACTAACAATGTGTTTTACAGCTGTGCTATCATGGATATCTGGATATTATTCAGCACTGTTGTTAACCTTGTCTTTTTTCTATTAACATTTACTTAGCACTAACAAAATGTGTGTATTATATGTGTAAATGTATAGATACAGTATTTACATATATATAGAGAGCATATACAGTGCTCAGCATATACGAGTACACCCCTCAAATATCTCTCTTTTAAATTAGTATTTTCTATAGGATGATTTATAAGAATATATATCTGCATGTACATTAGATTGGTTAGTACTTAAGCCAAAGCTGGAAATAATCAAATAAAGTGTTACAATAGGAGTCCAAAAATTAGTAGGCCAAATTTATATGTTAAGTAAAAATATAAAAAAAGAAGAGAAAATCAAGAAAACACTTATAAAAATCAATAGAAATTTGGTTTTGAAATATTTTGTTTGAATTTAAATGTACTATATCTCTATTATCTCTATTTCTGAAGATCTTTTGTGACTAAAGTAATGGTTTAATAAATGTGTCTGTAAAATAAATTTGTTTTGTTCAAGTGCACCAAAAATATGACCTATATTTACTGAGAATTTAATGAAAATATATTTATTTTCAAATTGGGGTGTACTCAATTATGCTGAGCACTGTATATATACTAAAAGTCTAAAATTGTTATTGGTTGTAACACCTTATGCCGAGTTTAGACTGCATGATTGTAACCTAGATTTTGACTCGACGACAGGTGTTGGGAAATCATAGACAAATGCTTGAAATCACAGGCAAAGTCGTGCTCATTCACGTTAGTAACAATTATACAGTGGGAACTAACAAAGACGCAATATGAGAGAATCGCCGATGAGTCGGCGACACCCGTGAGATATCTGGCATACTAAATATCTGGAGCTGTCAGTGATTCAAATGATGCCTTGTGAAGTTTTTAAAATAACATCAGCGATTACCTACAGCCAATAAGAGAGCAGCATCCACAAGTGTGGGTATCTGCAGGCCAGCGGGAGGCTGGGGGAGAAGTTAAAAGTGCTTATTTTCAGTCTTTTTGGACCCAAGAAATGGAGGAAAAGCTAGTGTAAATTTGGCACCCCTGTCTGTTTGGAGTGTCATCTGAGCAATATCACAACCAGGTCAAAAAAAGAGTTGAGGAATTGCTAATTCCCTTCAAAGTGCCAGTTGAGCAAATTACATTTTCTACCCCACTAAAGGCTTCTTTCTCATTATGTAGTTAATAACGAAAGATATACTACGTGACTTTGCGTTGTTTCCATGTCACTTCTCGTGTGTGTTTGGTTGTGAGATGTAGTTTGCATACAGTTTGCTACAGTGTAAACAGCACCGACAGAATGCTACCGCAGGTATTCATGCAGTGTTGAAAAATCTGCAGTCTGAACTCGGCATAACCTTTTATATTTTGTCTATTTCTAAGGTTTCAGATATATTCTGAGCTACTTTCTAACATAAGTAATTTATTAATGCGATTCGGCAAATAACAAGCTTTTTAACCCTCCAGATCTCTTTGCTGCTAATCTGCCATTAAAAATGCATTTACTGTAAACAAGTTTATTTACACACACTGTGGGAAATATTTTCTATCTTTAAAAAAAATGCATGTGGCGCACAGAGATAATTAAAAATGATCAGAAACATTACTATTAATATACTTTAAAAAAGAGTGAAGCATTTGTTTTTATTGTTGTGTTTATTTTTCAGCATCCATGCGCAAACTTCAAGACCAGAACGAATCTTTCCAGACAAACAGAGCCAAGATGGCAGAAGCCATGTCCTTAGCATTAGAAAAAAAAGACCAGGAGTGGATGGAAAAACTAGCTTCACTGGAGCAGGTAAAGATGCTTGGTGACATATTGGATGAAGTCACTCTAAATCAGTGGTCACCAACCTTTTTTAGTCAAACATTCCTAACATTTGCCTTGCTGAAAAGCAAGATCTAACCATTTAAAAATGACAGAAAAATAAAGTTATTTTTCATTAGTATGTTCAACTTATGACCTTTAATATAACATTTTTGAACTATGTAGAATGCACTTGTTTAACCTACTTAAAATATTTTAATTAATGCAACCAAAAAAACTGCAGTAATTTGCAGTAATCAGTTATCATATGAAATGCCTGTGATTTAACAAAAAAAAAAAAGATTGGTAAAATGATTTTCAGTGATACTTTTGCTGGTAAAACATTGGCATTTGATAAATTAACTATACAATATGAGCTAAAATATTAAATAATAACTAAATAACTTAACTAAAACATTAATTATTTAATTTTCTTTTTGGCATAGTCCCTTTATTAATCCGGGGTCGCCACAGCGGAATGAACCACCGACTTATCCAGCATATGTTTTACACAGCGGATGCCCTTCCAGCTGCAACCCATCACTGGGAAACATCCATACACACTCATTCACACTCATACACTACGAACTATTTAGTTTACCCAATTCACCTGTATCACATGTTTTTGGACTTGTGGGGGAAACCGGAGCACCAAGAGGAAACCAACACTAACACAGGGTTAACATGCAAACTCCACACTGAAATGCCAACTGACTCAGCCGAGGCTTGAACCAGTGACTTTCTTGCTGTGAGGCAATTATGCTAAAAGTGTGAAAATGTAAATGCCGATCTGAGAAAATAGTATAGTGAGGGGTTTTACAGCTTAAAACATCCTATAATAATGGTTATATTATTGGTATATATTATATGGCATAATAATGGTAAAAAAAAAATAAAGTGGACTACTTAGTGGATTTTATCTATTGCAGGCTGTTTTTAGAACGTAACTCTCACGATTAATGAGGGACCACTGTATCAACATTAGCGACATAAATCACTTGAGATACATTTCTTGTACTTATTCTTCTGTCATCTACTGAGAGATCATGATCAATGGGCTGGTGACCACTGCCCTAATTGTGTTTTGTGGGTGACTTTGGGTTAAAAGCATCTGCTAAATCATCAGCGGTAATCGTCAAATACTGTATCGTCATTCTGTCCTCTTTTTGTCAAACAGGAGAAGTTGTCTTTGACTTCTCGGCTAGACGAAATGACAGAGCAGAGTTTAAGTCTGTTCCAGAAGAGAGACGACCTGGATGAGCTAGAGGGCTTTCAGCAGCAGGAACTGGCTAAAGTCAAACACATGGTACTTTTTTGTTTTGAGTTTTCTATGCTTAGGATTTTCTGTCCTGTGATGATTTATTTATTTATTTTATTTTTTACATTTGATTAATATATATTGATAATTGATTAGTATAAATTAGTGATTGATTAAGGTTTTGCTAAAGTGATGATCAAATGCATTATAATCATTGGAATATTACAGCACACCTCATGAAGCGGAAAAGGCTTTTATACTATACGCGCTCACCGTAGTGAAAGAAAATCCACTCTAAAATCAGACGGATAAACAGAGAAGTAGAAAGTAATTTTTTTTAGTAATTATTATAAAAAATTATATGGATTTTTATAACCATTCAAGATTTTTTTAAACAAACTTTGACACATCACTTACTTTTGTTCATATTTCGGACAATTTTTCCTATTAAAGTTTATTCAACTATCAATGACAACAGAACATGCGTTCCTCTATGAATATATATATTATTTTTTTGCAAGAATAAAAAAAAAAAAACATCTGTATTTTTTAGTAAGTTTACTTACTAAAAAATACAGAATTATTATTATTATTATTTATTTTTTTTTTTTTTTAGATTTAGCCCGCTCCACAAATTACACGTTTCTGTCCTCTACTTATATGCTATAAAGGCAATAATGGTCCAATATTCCTGATCGTTATAACCAGTAAAGCATAGAAAAATCATATTATGTTTCTATAAAACATATCCAAATGTTTTCGGCTGTCTGCACCACTCGCTTATGGTGACTCACGCTCTGCACAGCCTCTGCAGCTCATACTGAATTAAACAGACGCACGTCACTTCATAGCTATAACGGCCGTTTTTTGACTCGACTAAATTTATTTTTATGTCTTGATCACACTATTTGGAGGGCCAGAACAAATTGCCTCGGAGGCCGGGTTCAATTAAAATAGCCCTGACATAGGCTATTTTATATACATATATAAAATGCTTTGGCATTCAAGTTTGCTTTGAACTTGAAAGAGAGAGAGGAGCAGATTTTAAAATATTAGATCAGTGGGTGCTCATAGCTCCTGAATAGCATAAAAGTAACAGAAATAGTAGATGTCTTTTTTTTTACATTAACCCATTGAAAAGAAACTGTGAATAACAGCGTCATAATAATAATTAAAAAAAAAAGATTATTGAAAGTTAAATTATGTTTTGTTTGTCGCATATAGTTAACTATTTAGGACATGTGGGTAAATGGTGTGTTTCAATCCGGCCACCACTGCAAGTATATTTCAAACCTGTGGGAAGCACTGCGATGTAATAATAGTACTGAAATGTTTAAGGCAGGCATGTCCAAACTCGGTCCCGCAGGACCAGTGTCCTGCAAAGTTTAGTTCCAACCCCAATCAAACACACCTGGGCCAGCTAATCAAACTTTTACTAGGCTTTCTAGAACCATCCTTGCAGGTGTGTTGAGGCAAGTTGGAGCTAAAATCTGCAGGACACCAGCCCTCCAGGGCCGAGTTTGGACACCCCTGATTTAAGGCATATTAAAAACAACATAACAGCATTTCAGATGTTTTACCATGTGGTCAACTCACTAATTTGTTCAATAATGTGGTCCATTTCACCTATTTTTATCATCACTAGATCACTTAAACGACTTTTTTAATGCAAATACTGAAGTTTATTTTGTTAAAGGGTTTCCATAGTAGTTTATGCACATTATGCACATTTCCATCAAGCATTTTTATGCAATAATGCAAAATTTGTATAAAAATAGCTATATGGAAACATACCATTCGTCTTCAAAAATGTCTGTCAGCCTAAAAATCCTCATCTGTATGTAAACTGATTATTCTCTGAAGAATTAAAGCAGTTAAAAGACAAGCTTTGTTTAACTTTATACAATATCAGACAAATATCTTCCTTGAAAACAGCAATGAAACAATTTGCCATTCCAGTCCAATTCAGCCATGAATCTGATAACATGCCAAGTCAAAATACTCAGTAGCTGATATACATTGCAAAACAGAACTACCTCTTTACAGATTAAGTGACCTGATTGTAAGTGCTCATTTTTCCTGCAGCTGCTGAGGCGAGAGGAACAGCTTAATCAGCGGGAGAAAGAGCTGAAACTGAGAGGAGAAGAGCTGAACACAGCCAGACTGACCCTGGGCAAAACGCAAGACAAGCTGTATGAGCTGGGAGAAGAACACGAGGAGATATGCAGGACCAACTCACAGCTACAGGCCCAAAGGTGTGTGTGGAGTAGCTATAAGATGATAACCGGTTTCAATGTTTACTGCGGTTTGAAAAAGTCACGGTTTTAAAACCGCTAGAATTTTCTGTTACACAATTTTAAGTTCTTTTTCAGTTGTAGTTGTTTTGTTGTCAGAGTGTTTCATTTCATTTATTTAGTGCAACAGTATCTCCAGTAGCATAGGAAACATTCAAGAAACATCTGAAAAGCAAATCACTTACAGTACACACCAACAGCCTATAGATCAACAATAGAGCTGAAGAAAGCAGCTGCTTGTATATGTCTGCACAAAATTAATATAGAATATAATGTGAAAATAATATTGATAACAATCAACATACTGAAATACGTCTCAACATCTTTCAATTCACGCAGACTTTTAAAAAAGAGCAGTGTTGTTTAGGATTTTGCAGAACTAGAACAAGAAACCAAATTTAATGGAGTATGCCAGTCTCAAATCTAATGTAATATTTAAGGTGCTGTATGTATGTGTTTGAGTCTTCTAATGCGTTAAAATACCAGAAAACGTTTGCAGATGTTTAAGAAACATTCAAAGTTAACATACTTGTAGGGCTGGGCGATTTTTTTATTTATTTTTTTCGTTTTTTTCGATTTATTTGAATTTATGTTTTGACGACGATAAGCACCATGCATTTTAGAATTCTAAACATAAAGTTCTTTACACACACCGTAGTCGCCCAGCCACGATTCAGGATGCAGTTCATATTTTAGCCGCGCCACAGAGCGCCATCTGATTAGTTTCATGTTAAATATCATGCGAATGTGCGCGTCTGGTGTGTAATATGTTAAACTGTCATGCGCGTGACGCGGCGCTTCTGGTGTGCGACCTGCTTGACTGCCTGTTTGGGTTTCAATCATGGTAGTGACGGACTGAACACAGAGACTTTACACCCTATTTTAACCCAATGCATGAAGTTGTGTGCAGTAACATGACTTCACGCTTTACTAAGTCACGTCTGTGTGGATTGTCAAGACATATTCCCTCATCAAGTTGATAAACTCGATCTCAACATGTATGAAGGACGTAAAAACCTGCCATGTAAAAAAAAAAAACGTGCCGATCTTAGTTCGAACGACGCTGATCTTTTGGTTTGAACACTAGTGGAGGTGAGCAGCTGACAGCAGTAGCGGTGAAAATGAAAGTACCCGCCCCCATGACATCATTTAGCAGACCTAGTTGAAAACCGGACAGATCAGGCAGCATAATACAGAGATTGGTGCAAAGCGCATCAAATGACTGATATTTAAAAGGGGGAAAAAGAAAAATAGATTAAATATATTATTTTATATTAGACACATCTGGTGCTTTTTTTGCTCCTGCTATACGTCCACAACTTCACACATTGGGTTAAATTGGGGTTTACAGTTTCCTTGTTCAGTCCATTACTTCCACTGTATCTTTTAAGAAAAAGGCAGCAGCATTACAACCTGTCATTTAATCAGAAGAAGACAAAGTCAAAGCCGAGCTGACAGCCAATCTTTCCTAGGCTCAGCGAAACTTGCAAAAAATTCCTCTGTATTCCTGCAACTGCAATATTTACACAAATATATTTTATTCAAATCTTCTGCAACGATATTTAACTCGTGAATTTGTTTTACATTAATTTACACCTTGTTGACCAATTTATGTATGGCATGGCCATTAAAAATACTATGTTCCTTTACCAGATGGTTTTTCAAGTTACTTATAAAGAGAATGTTACTTCAGTCATGTTGTTGTAATGTTTTAAGTTGACTAGTTACACAATTAAAAAAAAATCGAAATCGTGAATCGGTCAAACTGTATAAAATATCTAGATTTTTTTTTTTTTGCCAAATCGTCCAGCCCTACATACTTGTTTATCTGAAAAACAACTTTATAGTCAGTTATTCTCCTTTAAAAATGTGTACAATGTAAGAACGCCTGTCCATGTTTTGGTGTCTATAACCTGCCCACTTCCAGTTTACCCAGTTTTGTTTTGGCACCTCAGGTTGACTTGATGGATAACATGGCATATTTTATTTCAGTCATGAAGGAAAAAAATGAGGCCTCAAGAGGACAGTAGCAGCCTCCGAAATTACATTTAGAGTTCCACATAAACTCTTTGGGCTCTATTTTGACGGTCCATGCGCAGAGTGCAAAACGCAGGGCGCAAAATGCAGGGCGCAAACGCTTTCAGGGCGTGTCAGAACGCATTTTTACTAATTTACAAACGGGAAAATCCGCTTTGCGCCAAGGCGCATGGTTCAAAAGAGTTGAGTTTATTTTCTTAATGAGTTATAGGTGTGTTTTGAGAATAAACCAATTAGAGTCTCATCTCCCATTCCCTTTAAGAGTCAGCTGCGTCGCGCCATAAGCGCATTCGCTATTTACAGGACGTAAAGTAAGTCTAAGTGTAAAAACTGAGCATTTCACTAGCAAACAGTTAACAGTTAACAGCTTTTTTAACAGAAAACTGTTAAACAGAGCATCTACTGCGTGAGAATGAGAGATAATGGATCACTTTCACTTTCGCTCTTGGATGGGGAAACCTTTACGCACAGACATCAATTAGTCTATAAATAATTAATTGTGTTTGTTAAGCGCAAATATTCGTTTCAAAACTATTTCTAAAATCAGTGCTAATTTCCAGCAAAGAATAAATGAACAATAATGATAAAGTGTGTTCAATAACCTGAGTTATATCCTAAAACATATGCTGTGCCCCTTATGGTCTAAAACCTGACAGGTGGGCAAATCTAAGCTTGTTTTTAATAAAACAAATATAAACATGGATATAATAAATAATACTGCTAATAATAATACCATTATACAAAAGCAAATTGTTATGAATGAACTGAAAAAGCCTCCCGAGATGAAGAAGGCATAAAAGCAGTGATTTTTTTCATATTTATGTAGGTTAGAAAATAATGTTTTGTAATATTTTAATCCTTTTATTTATATTCTATATCTATTCTTATTATATCCTATATGTATCCTTAATATAAATTTTTTTTCATATGTAAAGATATTTGCCTATTGCTCTCTTGTGCGTATTAAGCAGTGTGTAAGCGAGGTGCAACTCTGCGCCGGAGTTTAGACCGTGTTTGTTTAGACCGTTGTTTTGGTCTAATGAAAAATCTATTTTAGTTTCTCAAAATAGCGACGCGCCAGCGGTCTGCCTCCGAACGCCTTCCTTTTTAGACCAGAACGCCTATGGACGCACATATGAGTGCTAATGCATTTGCTATTTAAACAGCGTAGCGCAACGCCTCAAAACGACTCTTGCGCCAAGCTGAAACTACCAAACAAGTATTGCGCCGTGCCTTGCGCCACATTGCGCCGGGTGTATGATAGGGCCCTTAATCTCACATGCAGGGCTCAACAATAAGGACTGCCCGCTGGTCCGGGGCCAGCGTGCAAGACGCTCTGGACAGTATACAGAATGGTTACTGGCCTGATTGGGGCCAGTGCTGCCTTGTCACTAAAGTTTAATTCGGCTGCGACTGTTTGTCAGTTGCATGCTTTCATGCCCAGACTTTTGTTTCGGAACCTATCTTGCCCAGTAAGCATGGTTCATAGCATATGTGAATCCCGCAATCGTGCTCGAGTCCGCGCCAAATCAATCGGTCTAAGATCGCTAGAATGAGGTGGTCTTGGGTCGATTGAGCCGATCGATTGTAGTGAAACAAAACGATCCAACGAACCAGGCTATATCACAGTGTATTATGGTTGTGTAATGGCCATATATTCGGCTATATGAAGAGAGAATGATGAGAAGGGTAGGTTGTCATTTGTCAAGTGCTGTTTATCTGATGACCGAAAAAAATTGACGAAATACCATCTGATAATTTTTCCATATTTTAATCTTATTTTTTGTATTAGGCTAATTGTTTTGTTCATTTGTTTTGTTAATTTCGACACCTCGGAAGAAAGATCAACATTGCTTCATGATTGCTTCATGACTGCTGTCCCGGTGTTGTGACGAGAAATGCTGAACGGACCCCCTTTATAGAATTTCTTTAGCTTTCTTAGACTACATTTAAAAAAAAACCCTCAAAGGCCATAATTGATTAAAACGTAGGCTAATATGATTATTATGTTGATGGATCAAGCAAGAACAAGAAGTGAAACGCATTTTAATTCCAGGTTTACAAATAAATGAAAAATAAAAATATTGAGAGTATTATAGACTGATTTAATGAGCCGGTTTATAAAATTAGGCATTTTGGTGGGTTTTAAACAAACAAAAAACATAAATTTGTTGTAGTTTTTAACTAAATCATTTACTTTAATTAATCTAATTAGCACTGTATTTAAATTAAATCATTTTTAAATTGTCAGTTTTATTTAAAGAAAAATTATGCTGAATAACTAAATGGCTAACTTCTTTTTTTTTGTGGGGCCAGAGAAAATATTGGCAGTGCAAGTAAAAATCTGACCCACTGGAAAATCCCTTGCATTAAACCCTGACATGTTTTTTTTAATTAGCAAATAATACCATTATTACAAACACAAACATTAGCTGAGCAGCTTACGTTGTATGGTGCGATCGTCAGGCATGCTCACTCCTGCTGGTGTCGTCAATCTGCAACCTGCCTGTGCATAGTGTTATTGTTAGAGAGGCCGGGTGAAAAATCCTCTCCAATATTTAGAATTTGGACTGCAATACCTAGTTCAACCACTAGTTGTCAATCATACACATTGCATCTTAAATTATTTAAAAATAATAGAGTAGTTGATCTGTAAGTCGATCTGATTCATTCATACTTGAAAATATTTAAAATGTTTGTTTTTTTCCAGATTTTTAAAAACATTATTTTTTATTTCACTCTATTTAAACTTGCTTTATTGGAATGACAAATGACACCTATGTAATGCCAAAGCATGTGTGACGTTTACATTAAATAGAGCATATGGATACAAATTACGTAGTATTAGTGATTAAAAACAAACAACAACACACATGATAATAATTAGCATGTTTAATGATCATATCTCTATCTTTTCTCAATTCTTTTCACTTTATTGGCATGACATACATGAGCATATATTGCCAAAAAAGACAGCTTTAATAGTAATAGTAATAACAATAGTGGTAATAATAATATACATGGTTTCTCTCTTTGTCTCTCTCTCAGGGATGAGTTGTTGAGTGAGAAAGAGGAGGCAGAGCGGAGAGTTGTGGATTTGGAGAGGAGAGAGCAGGAGTTGCAGCAGCTGATCCAGCAGGTGTCAGAGGATTTCCAGAAGGTTAGCGCTTGCCAACCTTCAGCTCATACAAACAGCCACTCATAACAAGCCAAGAGGGTCACTTTTGGGAACAAAGCCACCATTCCATTTCTAAAAGTGTTTTCAGCTCATATTTAAGCGTTTTCATAGCTTTCACTTTTATTTATTTAGTTTTGCTCACGATAGCATTCATACAGGGTGCTTAAAGTACTAGAAACTACCTCTTTTTGGTGAGGTTTTATTAAGATGAGCTTGAAAATTGCTTAAATTACACTTTAAAAATATATAAACACAAATGTAACCTTTGAAAATTACTGTAATTTCAAATTTCTTGATTTTATATTTTGCACAGATTATTGTTACATGAAGGGTTTGTCTGTCTGTTTATTGTTTTTTATGTCTCTTAAAGCTACAATAAAAAAAGAGTATACATATGATATATGATTATATGTACAATTGAAGTCAAAATTATTAGCCATCTTGTTTTTTCCCCCCCAATGTTTAACGGAGAGATTTTTTTCAACACATTTCTAAACATAATAGTTTTAATAACTTATTTCTAATAACTGATTTATTTTATCTTTGCCATGATGACAGCAAATCATATTTGACTACATATTTTTCAAGACACTTCTATACAGCTTAAAGTGACATTTAAAGGCTTAACAGGGTTAATTAGGTTAACTAGGCAGGTTAGGGTAATTAGGCAAGTTATTGTATAACAATGTTTTGTTCTGTAGACTATTGAAAAAAATATATAGCTTAAAAGGGCTAATAATTTTGACCTTAAAATGTTTTTTCAAAAATTAAGAACTGCTTTTATTCTAGTCAAAATGAAACAAATCAGACTTTCTTCAGAAGAAAAAATATTATCAGACATACTGTGAAAATTTCTTTGCTCTGTTAAACATCATTTGGGAAATATTTAAAAAAGAAAAAAATTCAAAGAGGGGCTAATAATCCTGACTTCAACTGTTTATGGATGTTATCATGGTGCATTAAATGAAGAATTGTTGTTTTTAATAAATGGTAGACCCAAAATAACATTTCTTCACTTTCAAGTGGTTCTAAACTTTGAATTTTTTTTTTTTTTTTTTTTTGTAAATCACAAAACAACAATTTCTGAAGAATGTTGGGGAAAAAACACCTGATTAACTAATGTGTGGTATGCTCCAAGACATGACTATGTAAGACATGACCGTAAAAACAAACAGTTAGTCTTAAGTAGGCCCACCCGGAATCTGCGCGTGCAGAATTCTGCAGATTTTCCACAAATTTTCAGCCCATTATTAATTCTGTTTATTTACTTATGTAAATGTGTGTAAATCTATATTTATTCAGTTTTTTTAATTCATTTCAAATAATAATCAATTCCGCAATAATCCGCAGACTTTACCAAAATTCTCCGCAGAAATAGCAAAAAACAGCCGCAGATTCCATCTGGCCCTAGTCTTAAGCGAATGTTCTTACTTAATGCATCTTTGCATTCGTAAACCAGACACATACAGTGGAATGAGGAAATAGCTCAATGTCATAGGACACAAGTTCATCATCTTTTAGTTCTCCTTTTTAATAGTGACAAGACATGGCAGATCAAGGTTCAAATTTCTGTCAAGCACGTTTACATGGCAAATGCAGTGAAATGCAGAAGAACCTGTGAAGAACTACTAGAGAATGTTGAATGCTCATGACTGCTTATGCATATTTATCATTTTCCTTACTAGTTTATTGAGCATATGACATGCATTTAAGTCAAGTTTGGACATCATTTTCTTTTGTATTTTATAGATCTTTTCCTGAAAAGTTATTATAATTAATATTTTTTTGTTAAATTTACACCGTTACACACTTCATAAAAAATATATTTTTCTTCAACCAGATTGTTATGGTCACATTTTAAAGTAAGATAAGTAAAAACAAATCTCTATAAACAGTTGAAGTCAAAATAATTAGCCCTCCTGTTGAATTGTAATTATTTTATTTATTTATTTACACCAAGTGCTGTTTAACGAATATATTTTTCAACACTTTTCTAAGCTTAATAGTTTCATTAAAAATTTGTAATAACTCTTTTCTTTTGTCTTTGCCAATGTCATGATGACAGTACATATTTTTTTTTCTAGTTGTTTTGCAAGATAGTAGTATTGAGCTTAAAGTGCATTTTAAAGGCTTAACTGGGTTAATTAGGTTAACTTGGCAAGTCAAGATAATTAAGTTATTGTATAACAGAGGTTTGCTTTGTAGCCAACTGGAAGATACAATTCCTAAGGGAGCTAATAATATTGACCTTAAAATTGTTGTTAATTGCTTTAATTCAACCCAAACTAAAAGAACAAAGAAGAAAGAAAATTGAAGAAAAAATATCATTGGAAATATTGTTGTTAAGCAAACGTCATTGCTTAACATCCCTTGAGAAATGTTTGAAAAATAATCAAAATTCAACTTGAATTATAATCTATTTCAACTTGTGCTTTATTGTCATTAAGATGTCATTCGTGTATTTGTACAAATAAATATACAGCTGAAGATTCAGAATTATTAACCACCTTTTTGCTTTTTTTTTTTTTTTAAACATTTGCTAAATTATGTTTAACAGTGGTCAATGTCTAGTTAAGGAAACAGGGATGTTTTTGAATATTTTCAGTTTCGCCTGAGTGGTACGCCAGTAATAATTTCCACATCCTGTTGTTTCTTTTCTCTGTTTTTAGGCACAAAGCAATGCAGAAGCACTAGAGAGATCAATGGAGCATCTCCAGTCTGAACACAATAAGCTGAAGCTACAGCACGAACAGCACAAGAACAAGGTCTGACAGACTTGATGAATTCTTTCATACTAATAATGTAAAGCATTCACACGCATTGGCAAGTGAAAATGTGTGTCTGCAAATGTGATAAATCATGCAGGCACACATGCGAGTGGCATCCAATAAAAACATGCAGGGCATATGTCCTCTGTAAAAAAAAAAAAAAAAACAGATAAAGTAGTTTTTTGGGTAATTCAGTGTTTTTTTTTTTTTTTTACAAAAAATCATTCTAAACAATGTAAAGAAAATTTAGCAAAATATAGCCTTGATATGTTTTAATATTGACCGAGTTAGGCCATGTCAAATATTTGATTAAATTCAGACTCTGAAAATCATCTTTTTGAGAAATTGCTATGTAAACGATATCACGTCTGAACCATAATACTATGCGTCACATACTCATTCAAAGCTGATATTATCTTATTTTCAGTGATATGATGACACATTCATAGGGTAATTAGCAGTAGTTTAAAGTACCAAATTACAAATCCTCAAATTACCTTAAATGAGTAATTATTCTGAGGAATTGTAATTTACTAAGTAGTTATTTTTTCCTGTCTATGGGGATTGGCTAAAATAATAAAATAATAATAATTTTGCATCATAATGAACAATATGATGATGTTTACTGTATGATGACAGAAATCGACAAATAGTCTTTAACAATAACTAAATCCTCTACAGAATGTTGCATAATTTTTAAAGGGCTACTTTTAACTCATACTTTGAGTAATATTTACAACAGATTTTTTTCCACTTGCACTAGATTTTTGAGTAAGTAGTGGTACTTTTTGAGTAAGTAGTGGTAATTTTTCAGTACTCTTGCCAACACTGGTATTTTGTAAGTGTTTTTTTTTTTTGTAAAATAGGTTTAATAATCTTTATGATGAGAATGTCCAAAAAGCATTTTAAAATCCTTTGAAACTATTTGAGGTGGTGCAACATCAGCCTTATTTGAAAATAATCTGTAGAAATTGTTAATTAATAAATAAATAAATAAATTGAAAAATTTATACAATTTAAATATAAAATCTTGACTTTTATAATGATAGGACAGTAAATAAATTAATAATAATAATAATAATAATAACAATACGTTTTATTTATAACACACTTTTACAAGACCCAAATCGCTTGCAAGAAAGTTAAAAACAACAGAGCACAGTAAAACAATAAAAAATACAGTAAAATCACAGGAAGAATAAAAGAAATATTACAAATTGAAAACAGTCCTAACAAGATGAGCTTAAAGTAGCTGCTTAAAACAGTCCTATGAAATTGACAGGAAGTGAAGTGGGACAGAGAGGGTGGATAGGATCGAGAAAGGTCGAGCCGGGACTTAAACTCAAAGTTATATACAGTATGTCAGCGCACTAAACACTACGCTACAGCGTCAACATGCTGTAGCATTTTTAACAAAAGGTTGTAGGCTAAATAGACCATTTTGAGGAATGTACAAAAACACCATATAAAAATGGTCTATAGGCTAATATAAATTGTAGGCTTATAATAGATACACATTAGTATGGTTCAAAAATATATATATAATATTTTATTTATTTATTTATTTATTTATTTATTTATTTTACTATAAATTACTATAGTACTGAATTTCATGTTTGGTCATTGTTGGCTGCATACATCAGCAATCGCATTAACATCAGTTATCAGGATGAATGTCTAATGTGCTTTCAGAGATATAATCAGAGGCAGGTTTAACAAAGACTGTGCAATGGGTTATAGTCTAAATGTACTTCAAAAGCACATGCCAAATAAATATATACAAAAATTTAAGAGCAAAATAGTAATAAAGAAATTGTAATAATCCTTAAAAAGTAAATCGATTTATAAATCAATAGATGGATGGAAGTAAAGGAAAAGAGAGGAAACACTATCTATAAGTACTAATCTTGTTGACTTAATAGACACAAAGTCTCTGGCACATAAAACAAAATAATATATATTTGGTTAGCCCACAGCACAATCCTGTAGTATAGATATGTCATTTAATGAAAAAACAAACAAACATTAGAACGTTTTTCAAAGTTAACAATTCTTTCCTCCCCACATCCTCATGCAGGAATGAGACTTTCTCATCCTCCTCCAAAAAATAATCTGTTATAGGGCATGTTATGTCAAAATTTGTCAATTTAACTGAGATTTAGATCATGTTCACTGTCAAACTTCCTGCTTTTACTTATTTGTTATTCATCAATGCTGAACTCTGACAGATTTCTTGCTGTTCCAGGCACTATCCCCCTTATATTGGTAAAAAAATGAACATTTCACTGATTCTGCAATGGCCATGCAAACATTATAGCACAGCTTTATATGCAAATTACCCTTGTCTGCTTTACTTAGGTTTCCAATATACATCCCCAAGTTGTTTTCAATCCTTTTATTGATTCTTTCACTTTCATTGCATTGCATTTATTTATTTGTTATTCTTACCCTGGTATAATTCACACCGCACTGTGATTGGTCAGGTTGCGGTGACGGAAGAGGAGCGAGAGCGTATACTGTCTGATCTGCAGGAGAAAGCCGCCTCTTTAGAAAGGAGACTAGAAGCAAACTTCTCTCAGGATGAACACTTACAGGAACTGCTCAAAGAGGTCAGAGGATACACACACACACACACACATTTGTTTTTGTGAAAAGTGAGGACATTACATAGGTTTCCATTTATTTTATACTGTCCAAACCGTATATTATATTGCCCTAAACCCAACCATCACAGGAGACTGTGTGCAGCTTTACTCTCTGATTTAACTCATTCTGTAGGACTTATAAGCATTTTGAGAAATGACAATGAAATGAATATGAGGACGTCATCAATGTCCTCATATTTCACCTCCTTTTTGTAATACCCGTGTCATACATGTCATTATACAGATTTGTGTCCTGATATGTCACAAAAACACGTACACACACACACACACACACACACACACACACACACACACACACACACACCCACACATACATACATACATACATTTGTTGAGCCCAGAAGAAGTGGACCAGAGTGTGGTTTGGTCGAGGTCGGGTGAAACTGTAGATGCAATCTCACTTTTAAGGGACTGTTTCATATCGATCTACTACTCATTCTTACTTTTATTAACTTGAACGCACATTGTCATAGTTTATCAAAGATGCAAACTCCCTACTGCACTTCAGCTGCCAACTTTAACAAACCTCCTAATACATGCAGCACGATGACTAAATCCTGAGCCAGATGACACTTCTGGTAATTTATGAGCGTCAGAAGAGGAAGATCTATTCAGCTATGTGTCACTGCACCCTAAACGACTCAAAATAATACCAAATCAATACAACTAAAGCCGTTTTTGTTGTGCTGACCGATAGCACTTCTCTTCCTGTTAAACTGAACAGTCACATCATTGATAAAAAAATGTTCGGGCTTGGAAGGTTAAAATGCAGTGCGAGTCGAGGGGGAGATGGGAGGGGGGACAAACTCAACCAGGTACGGTTTAAACAGTGCCTAGTCTGATTACCCCCTTAAATGCTTAACTATTTTAACTACAGTAGGTTATCTAGGCACATAAGGGCAATTAGGCAAGTCATTGGACAATAGTAGTTTATTTTGTAGCCTATTAAAGAAAACAAATCTTAAGGGGCACTAATAATATTGATCTTAAAAATATATATTTTTTGATTTAAAAGAGAAGAACCCCAGACTTCCCACTCCCGACACTTCCTCCAGCTCCTCTGGGAGGATCCAGAGGCAGTCCCAGGCCAGCCGAGAGACATAGGTCGCTATTTTAACGATCTAGGCGCAAAGTCCAAAGTGCAGGGCGCAAAAGCATTAAGGGCGTGTAAAAATCCACTTCTGCAAGTCAAAGGATGGAAAAATCAGCTTTGCGCCGCGGCACATGGTCTAACAGGGTTCAACTTCTCTTAATGTTTTAATTGTGTTTTGAGAATAAACCATTAGGAGTCTCATAAGGACTTTCTGTCAGGGTTCTGCCACTCTGGTTTTGTAAATTCTTGTTTTGGTGGCAGAGCCCGGGCACTAGCTGTCTTGTCCTGTTTCCGTCTTTGTGTGTCTCTGTGTGTGCGCGCGCGCTGTCGTGGGTGTACGCAGAGTGTGTTCTTGTACTCGTGTTTGTGTTGTTCTGTCAGGATCGCGCTGCTTTATTCTCAGCGTCTTCGTGTAGTTGCTTTCGGTTTTGGTTGACGCTGAGATGAAGCATGCGCGTTGCATATGTGTAAGCGCACAGTAAGGTGTTTATCTATCCTGTGCTAGTGTCTTGCGTCTCTTGTCAAAGCACGTGGCTCAGTGTAAACATTGTGGTCATGTGCTTCAGTGTTGTGCTTGTGTCGTCATGAACATGCGGTTAATGAGTTCTCTCATTGGCTGCATGTTCTTGTCCTGTTTTATGTGAACGCATGGCTTGTCTTGTCTCTGTCATGTGCTCTCCCATCTATTGTCTAGTCCCACCCTCCTTGTTAACCCATTATTAGTTAACTATGTTCATCTGTTTGTGGTAATTTTCTCCTCCTTATATTCTCCTCATTTTCTAATGTCCTGGGCCAGTTTGTTGTCTACACTCCCCCTGTGTTCCTGCTTCAGTCTTGTCTTGCCAGCCCAGCCAAGTTTATTTGTGTGTTTTGTTTATGTTTTCCCCCTCAGGGTAGTTTTGTTTTGCCTTTTATTTTTATTTTATTAATAATAAATACCCATTATTTGCTGCACCCGAGTCCTCGCTCCTTTCCCTAACCACGACTGTGACACTTTCCTCGAATCTGGAGATGGCAAACCCCCCTTTTCCGGTGGAGCCCCATGGCCTTAAACTTGGAGCTGATTCTCATTCCAGCCATGTGTCACTCGGCAGCAAACTGCCCCAGTGCATGCTGAAGGTCCAAAATTTGAGCCAACAGAACAACATTGTCTGCGGATAACAGAGATGAAATCCTGTGATCTCTGAAACAGACCCTCTCCAGCCTTTGAAATTCTGTCCGTATTCTGTTTAAACCAAACAATATAATGTATATACCTGTCATCACGCTACAGTTTCAGTCATCTAACGTCTGCATGTTGTGTGTGTGCATGTAGAAGTCTTCCTTGGAGCAAAGGTTAGAGGAGGCCAGAGGAGAGTTACTGCAGGAGAAAACCAGTCACACTACAGCAGTCAGTTCACTGGAGGCACAGGTATAGTTAAATGTTTTGAAATATAGTCTATTCATGTGATGACAGTTTTTTTTTAAAGGGAAAATGTGGCATAATTACTCGCCCACCAGTTGTTTCAAACCTGACTGAGTTTCTTTCTTCTTTTAAACACAAAAATATTTAGAAAAATGCTGAACACCTGTAATCGTTTTTTTGCTATTGTGGAAATCAATGGTTACAGGTTCTCAGCTTTCCGGAAAATGTCTTCATTAGTGCTCAATAAAATAAAATCCATAAAGGTTTATAACACCTTGTGGTAGAGTAATGAATATGTATTTTTTAAGAATTTTGTTGTGCGGCTTAAAATTGATACTTTATTTATAGGATTATTTGACGAAAGGAAAGTAAAAAAAAAAATATATATATATTTTTAATAATTTCTAAAACTTTATAAATGTCTACTTTCCCTTTTGAATGTCATGCGTGTTTCCTGAATCAGAGTGTATTTCTATAGGAAAACTGCTTTTGAAGTATTTTAATAAAGTTTAGAATGTATTTAAATTAAGAAAGAAGAATTGTTAAATCCATTGTAAGTTTCATCTAATTTATTTGAACATTCAAAAAGCATTTGAAATTGAATTTAAATTTCTTGCATCTAATCAATTTGCTTTTTACCAAAAGTTTCACTGCATTAATATTGGTCTATATATAATATTGTTCTACTGAGCTATTACACTGTATTTATGAATGTTAATAGAGACATTCTGTTGTTTGATTTGTTTGCAGGTCTCTCGGCAGAATGCAAGCATAACAGATCTGCAGACTCTGGTCAAACACAAAGACGACTCGTCCAAAGCTTACAGAGAAAGAACAGATGCACAGGTAAGAACATGTATAGTTTACATTTAATGGCTAAGTTTGTCTAAATATGAAACTTTGATCACCCTGATGTTTCTTTTGACCACAAATATTGCATCAGTTTCCGCAAGTGCAGCTCTCTATAGGTCAGATGAGCAGTCAAAATCAGTAGAAAACTGGAGCACTGGACCAGTTGATGTGTATTTAGCTAACAAAGTTTCAAATTAATGGGTTTTTATTAAACCAACCGAATAGTGAATGCGTAGTCTTTTGTTGTTGTTGTAATTTTTACATGTATTAGTGTAACAATATTATTCATAGTAACAACTGCTGGCCCCCCTGCAATGCCATAACGGCCCCCTGGGGGCAGCGACTCACAGGGTGAAAACTTTTCGCTTAATGAGAATTTTGAAGGTTTAGATCTTTCACAGAAGATGCAATATGCAAATACCACACGTTTGCGACAATCATTCGTTCCACTAACAAAAAAATAACCATTTGCATTGACTTTTTGTGTAATCTACTAGCGCTAATACTTAAATTAGCTTTTTTTTTATTTAAAAGTAGCATTGAAAATAAAAATATGACATTTAAAACTATCGCAATCTTGGTTGGTGAAACAAACTGTAATGTATTATTATTATTATGATGGACTACATTCAAAAGGCTCTATTGATTCTGACACTGATCTCTGTTCACTGCTTTTGTAGTATTAATGCTAGGATTTAAAATAATGTTAAATAATTTAAAAAAAATTATGCTGCATGGCGTTAGAACATTGCCAGGGTGAGTACGATGACGTTTTTTTTTTCTTTTCTCATCTTCTGGTGATTGAACTCACACTTTAAGTGACTTGGACTGATTGATGTGAATGAATGAATGATGTGTGTTCTGTAAGATATCAGATCTGGAGCAGAGACTGGCGGACTGCGCTGAGAAGATGAAGAGTCTACAACAGCAACTCAAAGACAGCCAAATGCACACAGACAAACTGGTACATCATTTCCACCAAACATCTTGCAAGCTGGCTCAGGATTTTTCTCAGTTATTCACATTTTTCCTCTGTTTTTGCTAAAACATCGCCCTCTTCTGTTAGATGTCTGCCATACAACTGTGATGCCAGCAATAAATAAAAAATAAGGGGGAGAATTATATATATATATATATATATATATATATATATATATACACACACACACACACACACACACACACACACACACACACACACACACACACACACACAGTTGGAGTCTGAATTATTACCCCCCCTGTTTATTTTTTCCCCAAATTTGTTTAACAGAGAGAAGATTTTTTTTTCAACACATTTCTAAACATAATAGTTTTGATAACTCATTTCTAATAACTGATTTATTTTATCTTCGCCATGATGACAGTACATATTATTTGATTAAATGTTTTCCAAGACATTTCTATGCAGCTTAAATGACATTTAAAGGCTTAACTATGTTAATTACGTTAACTAGGCAGGTTAGGGTAATTAGGCTAGTTATTGTATAACAATGGTTTGTTGTTTAAAAATTTAAAAACTGTTTTTATTCTAGCCGGAAAAAAACAAACAAGACTTTTTCTAGAAGAAAAAATATTATCAGACATACTGTATGAATTTCCTTGCTCTGTTAAAAATCATTTGGAAAATATTTTAAAAAGAAGAAAAAAATTTGAAGGGGGATAATAATACTGACTTATACTGTAAGTGGATTTTAATAGTTTAAACTGATGGATTTGTCTATACATAATTCAGCTGGTTTTATACAGCCTTTTAATTTATGGAAAATTATGAAAATTTCGTTTCTGAATGTTTGCAGGTTTATTTGTATTATTATTATTATTATTATTATTATTATTATTATTATTATTGTTGTTATTATTGATTGATAAAAATAGATACTCAATTCGTTATGTAAAAATCTTTAGTTCTTCTTTTAAATCCTTTAAAAGATCTTTTAAATCTTTATTTAAAAACTAATTAATTAAAAAAACAAAACAAAACAGAGTTTTAAGCCTGCATTCATCCAGTCTTGCATGTGCTAGACATAGAAGCAAATGTTTTTTGTTTTGCAAACGTTGATTTGACTACAATCATAGAATTTTAGCCTATATTTGGTCCTCAGTGTGCAATACAAACATGCAGACATGCACAGTCTACAGTTTATTAATAATATATTACACTCAATTTTTTATCAATTGTATAAAGTTAATTAAAATTTATAGAAATGTAAAAAAATAAAAGGGAAAAAAAGTGGAAAAGAAAGAAAGAACGCAAATAGTTACATTCAGAACATGTTTCCTAATACAATTCCTTTTAGAATAATCTCAGATGATCTTATGCGTCTATAGGGACAGAACACACGCATATTTGCGAATGTATTTATTCCTATATACATATACAGAACACGCATCAGCATATATTGTATACATGCATTTATCAGTCAATTAATGCTATTTGTTCAAAGCAAAATAATTAATTAAACAGTGCCTCACTTCCATATCTAAACATAACATTTTAGAAAACCAGTGCAAAAAACTAAAGAAAGATTTTAGTTCTTAATGTAATCAATCAACTGAAGTATATGATACATTTTTGTTTAGTCTATTCAACTTCAGGGTTTTAAAAACTTTACATTAGAGTGTTGACCTCTGATTTTTGGTCCTATAGCAGGTGGAGTGGTCAGAGGAGCGAGAGCGGCTACAGCAGCAGGTGTCCACACAAAGACAGAGAGGCCTGGAGAAAACAGCCAGACTGGAGGAAGAGCTGCTTGCACTACAGAGAGACAGAGAAACGGAGGCCAACAAATATCAGGACAACCTGGTGTGTGAAAGAGCACTTTATTCACCATTATAAAATGGCCACGGAAAAGTTGCTAAAGATTTGTCTTTTGTCTGATTCTCTTAAGCGGTTACTGGAGGAGGAAAAAAACTCCCTTTTGAGGAGCAAAGCGGAGACTGATAGCACTGTAGAGAGTCTGACGGCAGAACTGGAGCAGTCTAGAGTAAGCATCATCTAATAAACGTCACGTAAAACTATTCAAAAGTCTGGAGTCAGTTTTATCTATTAGTTTAGTTTAAACTTTATTGTTTTTTCTGCTTGGCACAGAAAGGAAATTAGTTTTTAACGCTTGATTTAAGACAACAATTGCATACAGTCAACAATCACACAATAACAACACTCATCAAGACAACAACACAAGTTAAAAGTTTTAAAACCAAATTACCCTCATACAAATTACTGCAGATCATTCTTGGCAACCACCCCATTCACTTCATACAGTGGTCCGATTTAAAACAACAACTGCAATTGGGATAAATGATTTTTATAAGCATTTCTTCAGGCTTTAGGAATTCTAAACCTGCATCCTGATGGTAACAATTCAAATGTTCAATTTTTCTTTATATTTGAAAATTACATTTTTAAATTTTAATTTATTTTTTTATTTGTTCTATTCAAATTCAAATTATTGACATCTTTATAAACTACTCTTTGTACACCAAACCTACATTTACTGTATGTAAAAATGCTTTTCTTACTTAGAGTTTTTGTCTTGTTTCTAGTTGAAATATCTTAGCATTTTTCAGAAAAGTAAAAAATTTGGTCTTGTTTTCAGAAATAATGCCAAAATTACATTTTTTTTTCTAAAAACAGGGTTCCTACGGGTGCTGTAAATCCTGGGAAATGCTTGATTTTTTAATACAGTGTTTTCAATGTTAGTAAAGTGCTTGGATTTTGGACAAAGTGCTTGAACTTGCTTGAATTTGAAATTGCAGGGCTTAAAATTGCAACTGTTTTAGTTGCATATATGCACAAATTCATCTGTGTGACCTCAAAATATATTTGGGAGCATATGTGCGAGTGCATAAATTGTTGCGGTGCGACCAGTTTTCCATGCAAAATGTTTACCACATGTGCATATTTAGGGAGCTAATAAAATGCCAAAACAATCTGAATTTGAATTGTGTTCATTTGAATTATTCACCATTGTACGTTAATAAAACTGATTATATGCTATTAAAATGTTTTGAATTGAATTTCTTAACTTGATTATTAAACATCTGAAATTTACGACTACAGATTTTTTTTAAGTCAGATTTTTATAGTCATGTTTTTAATCTTTTTTTGATTGTGAATTTATAGACTGCATACATTGGGTATGTAAAAATACAGTTTTAAGTTTTTAAGATGAAGAAAGAACTTAGCATTTTGGCCAATCACAGAGCTCCATGAGTTTGCTGGCATTTGTTTGGCTCAGGAGGAGACCATTCGTCTGCGAATTGACTATCGGGGGTCAGCTATTTTCAGAAGTTTGTGTAATAAACATGCATGCTTCAGTTTATTTATATTAATATCATCTCAATGGCTATTCAAACTCAAGCCTTCGGTTTTTCAGGGATAAAGAGCTGATAGGGTATATGCCGAGCTAGTGCTGTTCCCATGCTGATACACTTCCGGTGACCTGTTATTGTGAACTTTTTTCTATTTTATACGGTTCCTTATACAGCATCGATGTTGTAATGTCATTAAAATACGTTCAGTTAAATAAACTTTAGCATTTATTTGGTTGCTCAAGCGTAAAACGAGACAAAAAGCTGTTTACTCGCACGCGCCCGTCAGAATCAGCAGGCAAACGCAGAAGCTCAATTGAATATACTGGGGTAAAATAAATGCTCATATTATAAAGACATGGCGGGGGAAATGTAATAGAATGCAGTGATTCTTGTACAATCTGAGACCCACTTTAAATCGGATATCACTCAGCTTGTGGAGATCGCTGATTTTTAAAGAAAACAGACCTTAAACGCACTGGATTTTGCATTGGCATTCAATTCGCTGGAAGCGCTTAACCCAGGTTACTGGCAAATTAAAAGTCCTATTAGCATGCTTTGGCATATACCCCATTCTGACCTATACTGTTACCTAATCTTTTAGTTAAGAAATTCTTATTCAAAATATTTTAGTAGCAAATAATAATCAGTTTTATTAACTTACAATTTTCAATAATTCAAATGAACACAATTCAAACTCAGATTGTTTTGGCATACTGTTAGCTTCATACATATTTAGGAGATATTCAACCAGAATGCATCTTTGCAAACGCCAAACCAATGACTGTAAAAAATTGCAATGCACATGAAATGTTATAATCATGAAAGTTTGGTACTTCACCCAAACAAAATCTGACAGTAAGCTCATTTCTTGAGATATCAACTTTAGGTAAAAAAAGACCAAACCCAAAAACATACCTCATCCAACAACTGAACTTTTTTTAATATAATTTTTGGGTGAACTATCTCAATACATCTATGCTCTAAATTATTCAACAATTTAAGTTGACATGCCATATTGTGTTTTTTAAAAATAGGACAATGGATTTAAATGTGAAAAAGTACATAAAACATATATAAACGTGAATAACTGTGGTTTCTAGGTGCTGAAAAAGCCAAAAATGCATCTCGAAAGTCCTTGAACTTTGCTGGAGTTTGAAGTTGGAAAAGTTGTAAGAACCCAAACTAGTCTGCCAATGTGGTAACCGAAATAAACTTATAAAATGCTGCTATCCTCACATTTATAAATTTTATTTACAAGTGATACCAATGTCTGGACTTTTGACAGCCCTAAATTTAAAGTACCTTTGTATTTGAAAATATTTTTAAAATTGTATCTATTGCATTCAATTTTCTTTATTTAATATTAATTGTAATTTAATTGAATTTTTAATCTGTTGTTAAACCTCGGTTTTCATTAGCTATTATTCAAGGTCTACAGTGTCACATGCTTCTTTGGAAGTTTTTCTAATATACTTTATTCATTTAATGTAAATAATTATAAGTGTAATTTCCTGCTTATTCATGATTCATTTTAATTACAAAGCATATTTTAAAAGTAGAAATGTGGCTTCAACTATTGGAGGAATCTTAATGTTATAATTTTTTTTTATAAAATAATAATATAAATTTTTTTCAGAACTCTTGCATGGATGGAAAGTTTATAAAAATAATAACATTTATTTTAAAAAACATTTTTTGTTCTATTACAAATGTTTTACTGTCACTTTTAATCAGTTTAATACATCTATGCTGAATTTTTTATTTCATTTCTATAAAATCATGCAAATCCCAAACTAAAATCGAGCTAAAATTATATAGGGGTCACACAAAATCTGTAGCGGTTGACCATCTGGACAACCAGTGACCAATATAACATCTGTGTGACATGTTTGTTAACTTCACAGGCGGAGATGAGCAGCAGACAGACAGTCAGTGTTGAAATTGCCAAAGCTTTGGAGGAAACCAGAAAACAGAGGGAAGAACTCCAGCAACAGGTTCGTTCACTGCCTTACTCAAATATGCTGTTGTTTTTTTCATGTTTAAAATCTTGTTTAAAATATTGCTCATCTGTTGTAGGTCAGCAAAATGACAGAGTCTCTTGTAAAGGCAGAACAGGAAGTGAGTCGCCTTTCTCAGGATTTAGGGGTGAAGGAAGGGGAAGTGAACGTGTTGAAGGAAGGTAAGGAATCAGTTTTGTTTTCGTAGGAATTCCTGTTAATAGATTTATTTTTATTTTATTATTATTGTTGTTATTATTATTATTTATAATCAGGGCTTGACATTAACTCTTGATCACCAGTTACTGTGGCTAGTAGATTTCCAGCATTACTAGCCACTCGCCATTTTCATTAGCCACAATTTTGTTGTTGGAAAAATACATTTTATATGCATACATTTGACTTTGACATGTTAAAATCACTTGATTTAGATTTTGTGTTCTGTCCACATGCCTCATTCATTTTACTTTTTGTGAGTCGTGTACAGTTAAAGTCAGAATTATTAGCCTTCTTTTGATTTGATTTGATTTTTTAAAATATTTCCCAAATGATGTTTAACAGAGCAAGGACATTTTCACAGTATGTCTGATAATATTTTTTCTTCTGGAGAAAGTCTTATTTGTTTTATTTTGGCTAGATTAAAAAGCAGTTATTAATTAAAAAAAAAAACATTTTTGGGACAAAATTATAAGCCCCTTTAAGCTAATTTTTTTTTCAATAATCTACTGAACAAACCATTGTTATACAATAACTTGCTTAATTACCCTAACCTGCCTAGTTCACCTTATTCACCTAGTTAAGCCTTTAAATGTCACTTTAAGCTTTATAGAAGTGTCTTAAAAAATATCAAGTAAAATATTATTTACTGCCATCATGTTAAAGGTAAAATAAATCCGTTATTAGAAATAAGTTTTTAAAACTATTATGCTTAGAAATGTGCTGAAACAATCTTCAAAGCAAACAGGTTGTGTCGCATTGCAGTTAGTTTTTATTTTACATAACTTTTCTGAGTTCAACATTAAGGATTTACCAAATTTCTTTCTGACCACACCAAAAATAAATAAATAATTCTGTCTTAGCCACAAATTTTAAATGTGTTTAAACAAGCTAAATATAGCGGCATACATGCACTTTTTAATTCAACAAAACTTTTCTTACTATTTTTTTTTTTTTGAGATTTAAAAAAGAACTATTGTCATGTATCTAAAATATGCACGGTAATCTGTCCTAGTTAAGGGTCCCAGATCACCAGGTAACTACACATAAATTGGAAGTTAATATTCTATTAAAGCAATGTTATTGTAAAAAAAAACTGATAATAAAACCATATTAACAAAAATAACTGTAAGCAAAAGAAAACAAGTAAAAAACATACCATGAGTGATAATTAAAGGATGATCAGACGCACACATTTAATAATAGGCCTGTTACTTAAGTAGGCCTATCTGATAAAAAGATAATTAACGAAAGCAGTGACCGCTGCTGCTTACAAAAAGATATATCTTGAGCTCTTGAAAGTGGCTGGACTGTGGGTGCATGATCATCACTGTTTGTCCAGTCTATTTCAATTCAAACAGAACCGAGACAAGCACAAGTTGGGTTCTTTTCTTTTGTTTCGCGGAAGTAAATGTGATGTAGTGATGGGATGCACGCGACTGTTAAAAAGCACGCGCGCGCAAGTGATCATCCTCTCATTCAATTACTCTATGCAATTACTTTTGTCAGTCATGTTGCTTCTCAGTTATAAGATCGCCTTTGCATGCATATATTGGACCGTCCTTATTGTCGAACTCTGCTTTTAAGAATTATTATCTGGGAAAATTATTTTCAACCAGCCAAAGTGGCCAAAGTTATTTCTAAAATATATCTCTTAAATATGATATCTTGTTTGTTGTATTAAAGAAGTATCACACCTTGCAGTGATTGCTTGCATAATTTTACTCAGTTGTATCCTTACTTCAATAAATGCAAACAAGTTATGTGAATCCTATTTATTATCATTTGACAGTAACGGAGGAACGCCGCCAAATGTAGCGAAGTTAGAGTAATTATTTATCTCTATTCATTTACTTGAGTAAGAGTAACATTACACATTTTAAATGTACTCAAAGTACACATTACCCAACTGTTTTAATCAGGTAAATGTAACTAAGTAAATGTTATTCGTTACTACCCACCTCTGCTAACAGGCTAGCATTGTGGCAGATCACCTACTTCACCTTTAATATTTTTTATATGAAACTTTACAATATTATATTAGTGCATATACTTTAGATTAGTCAGTACTGAAGCCAAATCTGGAGCTTATCTAACAAAATAAATTACTAAAAAACGTACAAAATTAGCACACTCAAATTTCTATGTTAGGGAAAAATATAAATTTTTCTAAATATAATAAATATAATAAATATAAATTTATTTGTAGTTTTTCCCCCCCCAATATTTCGCATAAATCTATTTCTAAAGATGTTTGGTGACTTAAATATTATTTTAATAAATATATCCATTTCATAAATCTGTTTTGTTCAAATGCACCAAAATACATGACCTATATTCACTGAGAAATGGATAAAAATATAAATTTTCAAAATGGGCTGTACTCAATTATGTTGAGCACATGCCACATATAAGGAAAAAAATTAATATCTGTGAATGTCTATATTTTCACATCAAAATCGAGCATCAGTCATTTTATTAAAAAAAAGTCTGATATATATATATATATGTGTATATATATATATATATATATATATATATATATATATATATATATATATATATACATACATACATACATATATATAAAAAATATATATAAAATAAATAAATATTATATATATGTATATATATACATACGTACCTATGTATGTATGTATGTATGTATGTATGTGTATATATATATATAACATATACATATATATAATATTTATTTATTTATTTATTTATTTTATATATATATATATATATATATATATATATATATATATATTTTTTTTTTTTTTTTTTTTTTTTTTTTAAATCCTGGAGGGACTGGCTTTTGAACTCTCAAGACATTGCAAAGCCTACATGTCAGCTTGCATATTGTTGAAACAACAGTGCTAAATGTTTCCTGTACTTACTGGAGATTTGATCCAGTGCTTCTTTGTTGTGTATTTTAGAGCTGCAGGCGGCCCGTAGCAGTCTGTCTTCTCTGCAGGCTGAGTGTGAGTCTCGTCGTTTGGAGGCTGAAGAGAAAGAGCGCGAACACAACTCTCAGCTGACGTCACTGGAGCAGGAAGTCCTCAGACAAACACAGCAACTCTCCTCTTACCAGTCCCGGGTTAGCCTATGCTTTTATGCACCTACATTAGCTCTGTTCCTGCTAAATCGATTGTCTTATCAATTTGAGCATTTTGTATTTACATATTTCCTCGTGTGCGACAGGTGTCTGATCTGGAGAGTGAGGTGTTGAGTTTAACAGCACATTCACATGCAGATGAGTGTGAAGGTGAGCAGAATGGGACAGTTACTGTAAGTGATCTCGACCAGTTACAAAAGGTCAATAAAGACCTGGAGCAACAACTGGCTGAAAAAAACAAGGTGAGGGCAAAGAGTTGTTGGGTCAGTGTCGTTGTCTAAGTTTAATAATACATGGTAAATCACTTAGCATGTGACTTAACATGTAAATCACTCGTGATTGATGCTTCTTCTGTGTCTGGTGTGAACACAGCATTATTTGTATGGTAGTAATTCCACATGCAATCCTTTTCTTTTATACTTTTTAAAATTTTATCCAATATGATAAATAAATAATTTTATAATTCTATTAGAAATAGTTCTTTTTTGTGGGTTTTAATATAATTAAATAAAGCAGTTCCTATAAATAAAAAATATTATTATTTTATAGTTTATTATTATAAATTATTATTGTTTCTAAAAATGATTGCTCTAATTATTAAAGAATTATTATTATTATTAATTTTATTTATTTTTTTACCAGACAATAAAGCAGCTACAGCAGAGGCTTGCAGAACTGAAAAGGACACTACAGAAAGAACTGGTGTGTGTTTTTATTCACATTGATTGTATCAACCTAATTCAACAGTCCATGTCAGCTCACAGTAAACATTTCCCCTCATATTTGTGTAACAGAAGCTGAAACCAGATCCTGACTCTGAGATGAAGGAAAGACTTCAGGATGGGAGACAGGAGAGATCTGCAGAAAAGACCGTCTTGGAGACACCGATGCCCACCGCAGCTCCAAGCCCAGCTCCAGGACTCAATCAAACCCCAGGCCCAATTACCCCCAACACCACCGTCACCAACAGTTCAGACATCACAGACACCAGAGAAATCAACTTCGAGTACCTCAAACACGTGGTGCTGAAGTTCATGTCATCCAGAGAGGCAGAGGTAAGGTTTGATCCCTATCTGATGAATGACTTGCGATTGGCTTAAAACAGTGGTTCTCTAACTGTGGTACGTGTAGGAATGAAATATGGCATGTACATGCTGCATATATTTCAAAATGTATCAAAAATGATGTATATATTATGCCATATATGACATATAGCCTATATTTCTGAAGTAATTTGCCACATTTTTTTTAACTGTGCAGAGTTGTAGCTGCTTTACTGGGCCTACTACACTACTGTATTTCAATACTGCTCATTTTGGTGGTACTTGGAGAGACAATTTTTTTCTGAGGTGGTACTTGATGAAAAAAATTTGAGAACCACTGGCTTAAAAGAATGGCCCATCAAATGAATCACTTCTCAAAAGAGTTCATTTGAAAACCTTATGACACGCATTACAGCTGAACTATTGAACATAAAATTGCATATCAGAAATCTATCTACATCAATTCCGAGATTTTCAAAATGCACCACTTTTCTCACTTGAATGAATTCTGAGCTTAGATTTTAACAACAGATGGTGCTCTAGGCTAGGCAATCAAATACTGAGTCATATAAGTGGGCTTTTATGTCATGAGATTAGTGTTAATACAACTCCTTATGAACACTCCTTAAACTTTAGCTAACTTTATTAATGATTATTTTAGTTTCAAGTGGTATTTGTAAGGAATTGGTAGCAAGCAGAGTACAGACAGCTTTTACAAAAAAACACATCAGTAAAGTGCATGGTTATTATATGCAAAAACATATTTCCTTAATAAACAAATTTGGTTTATGTTTTCTGCTTTTGCTAAAAATGTACACTAAGGATGTTTAACTAAATATACAGCATGATCGGTACTTTGAAGATGTTTGTCTGAATTAGTACGACTGTGATAATTAATCGACATCCATATTTTTAATCAACAATTGCTTTTATATTATTTGAATTATACCTTATATATATATATATATATATATATATATATATATATATATATATATTAACACTTTGACTTAAAGGTGCAGTGGGTGATTGTCTTCAGAAACATTTTTTGTTGTGCTGGTTGAAAGTCTCTTCACATTCCAATAGTACTGATTAAATTAAATGGTTTAATGTATTTATATGTATTTTTATATTCTAGGTGAGGCATAAGACTAAAAAATGTTCATCCAATAAAAGATTATCTTGCTGATAATTCCCCTAATTCTGATAAGTAGCTCAACAAATGTTGATTTGTACATCTGTGCACCCGTTCACTAGGCATAGGCCAGTATAAGATACTGAAGGTATGATAACCTTGGATAAAAATATCAGAGTACTGTGCTCTAAAATATATTCTTTTTCAGTGTCTGGGTAAAAAACTAAAGTTCTTTTCCTTTTGAAAATAATATATTTTATATTTTGAAGCTATCATATGTTTTGGAGCAGTAAACATGTCAGGCTAAATAATTCAAATGAATTATTGACTAGTTATTGACTAAAAACACAGATTTCTTCACAATTTAAAACGGCATCTTTGGATATCTTATCTGCTGAAGATAGTGTTGTCCTAAATGACTTAAAACAAATTTTAAATAAAAAATCTTACACATACCTTAGGAACGGTATAGGGGAAAATGTTTGCAGATTTAAAACCTTAACTTTTCCCAGGTTCACATGCACACCAGAGAGAGACAGCAGTAAAAACAAACGCTGAATCAATACTTTTTAAAATCCTGAATCAATATTGGAGTTACTTTTGTAGATTGGAGGAAGGATGACACTATGGCTGAAGTATTTCTTTTAGACAGTTAATGTTATGTTTTAAAACTATTTTAGTCACGCAAACCTTATGTAGATTGTGTTGTGTTATGAATAGGTTATATGCACAGAGGTGTTGTTCAGCCACAGAAATCTTCTAGTGAAAGATTGATGTGCCTATTTTCAGTTTCATTAGGTAAATTTTACAGCACCAATAATATAGGTTTTTATTTAGTTTAACAACAAAACCTAAGTAAATATTGCTATTCCTGCTTTACTGGGGTGAACAATGACAAACTGTGACGCTCTCTCTATATTGTTTACCATGCTACTCTGAATGTATGGTTTGAAATGGCACGTAAGTATAGTTTAGCCCTGCACTCAGCCAGCCAAGCAACACAGGGACTGTGTTTTCAAAGCTATTATGCTAACGCATAGCATTTTGACCAATCACTTTCTGCAACTTTAAATAACCACCGTAAACTAATTGCAAACAACTAATTTACGAATATTTGTTTAAAAAAAATTTCTCACTTGAGTAATGAAATATTTTGCATGTGTAAACAATTCGATTGTGTGTGTGTGTACATTTATGTTTTATAGCCAATATAAGGAACGTCACATACATTTATCATAGAATAGTTCACAGGTAACATCAGTTTCACTTTCTCCTCAATACAACATCAAGTTTCTTGCTGAATATAAGATCGATTTGTCAACCATTTATGACCATCAGTTTCTCAATAATAATGGGATAAATTCAGAAACATTATGGAAGAAAAGATTGATTGGAGTAGCCTGATTTCTCTCAGAAAGCATAAAGCGAGTGTGGACATCTTTATTGGTAAAGGTATTTAAAGTTCTCAAATGTTGTTTCATTTTTACCCTGAGGAAGGCAAGTTTTGCTGAAATGAATAGGTGCTGTTTTTAAATAATAGCCATGTTAATAAATGCTTTTTATTTTTTTTTTACTTATTTTTCAACTTATAATTTCATTGTTTAAATCTTGTTTCAATGATCTATGGTAAGCTAAGCTAAATGTGCTCCGGCTAGACCCAGAGACCAGCTTAATGGATTAAAAAATGGTAAAACTCGTCTAGTTAACTCTAGGGGAGTTGTAAAATTTGCCTATTTCTTTAACAAGCACATAGCAGTGATTTGATTGCTACTTGAATGAATGCTCCCATGAGTGCTCGCCTCTTTCTGCTTCTCTCTTCAGGCTTTCCAGCTCATCAGAGCCGTTTCTGTGCTCCTGCATTTCTCAAAAGAAGAGGAGGACATGCTCAAACAGACACTGGAGTACAAGGTGTGTAACAGAGAGTCTGTAAGTATGATGGAGGATCAACATTTAGAAAGGTGTTCTTCTCTAGCCTCATCTCCTCCGCACCCTAACTAGGCCATACTGCCGAGGCAGAGAACAATGTGGGTCAGGATATGTGGCTCAACGCTCTGAATCAAACCATTAGCACTCAGTGTCATGGTCAGGAAAAGCATCTGCCAGGTATTTATAGATCAGGCCGGCAGCAGTGCTGGAAAGCAAGGAAATCGCTGCACATCACTGTGCTACATTACAACACCGCTCCAGTCCCTGCTGCTATCAGCAGGCTTAAGTGGAAGATTTGTGGTGGAGTTATTATTATGTTATGTTATGTTTTATCTTAAATTTCGATTGGAGATGTACCAAGTGTAATATTATTTTTTAAAAGCACACACACATCATAAATCTGTTTATATAAAATAGCTAAAAAAAAAATAATTAGTTGATTAGATATCAGGTTAAAACAATGAAACCTGTTCAGCAATTCACCACTGGGCTGCAGTCTGAATAAAGCTGCATTTTTCATGTGAATGTTAGAGATTGCTGCCAAATGATTTATATTTTCAAAAGGGTGAAAGAAAAATTTTAAATTACTTAAATTTATAGATTTTTATTTTTGTATAGTAGTGTTTGTTATAAACAATGTATGTGTACTTCGCTACTTTGTAAAAATTTTAAACAAATACCATAACGAAGCAATTTTTCTTCACTACTGGTCACATGGAATGCCTTTAGGGCGGGGCTAAGGGGCTATGCCTTTAGGACTTGTCTCGTTTCTGCTCTCTCTTTCATCTGTTCGTCAATGAAAGATTATTTTGTTAGCAACACCCATCTTCCAATAATCCAATCGGTTCCCGAAGGACAAACTCATGTGCCACCCTACTTTTTTTTCTCATTTCAGGACAGTTTTAAGTTGATTTATGTCATGATAGAGAAAAAAAGGACAATTTTAACTTCTGTTTCATTCATTCATTCATTTTCTTTTTGGCTTAGTCCCTTTATTAATCCGGGGTCGCCACAGCGGAATGAACAGCCAACTTCACACACTCATTTACAATCATACACTACGGACATTTTAACTAATCCCAATTCACCTTTACCGCATGTCTTTGGACTGTGGGGGAAACCAGAGCACCCTGAGGAAACTCACGTGAATGCAGGGAGAACATGCAAACTCCACACAGAAACGGCAACTGACCCAGCCAAGGAGCGAACCAGCGACCTTTTTGCTGAGACGACAGCACTACTTACTGCGCCGCCCACTTCTGTTTCATGACTAGTTTAAATTATTGAGACATTTTAAAAATGTTTTGGCATGAAAAAAAGCCTCGTTTACTGAAATCACATCACCTTGCTAATTTGGTATGAACTCCGAAACCACCCTACTTTTTTCACATTTTAGGACAGTTTCAAGTTGATGTACTCTACATCACGATAGTGTGAAAAAAGGACTATATTAACTTTTCGTTTTATGGCTAGTTTAAATTTGAGATATTTTGCAACTGTTATGTGATTATATAAAGCCTTGTTTACTGAAATCACATTACCTTGCTAATTTGGTATGAACTCTGAAACCGCCCTACTTTTTTCTCATTTTAGGACAGTTGCAAGTTGATTTATGTCATGATAGAGGTTAAAAAAGGACAATCTTAACTTCCTTTTAACAATTAGTTAAAATTTTCGAGACTTTTTATTCACACTCAGAGACGTCACAAAGCACGCCCAGGTACAGACAGCCAGTCTACACACTGGAATCCACACAAGGATCTAATCTGCGTGACGCAGCTTCAAAAAATTTGTTTCAAACCGGAAGAACAAATTTGCTCGAAATAACACAAAAACAACCAATTTTCACTTTTTTTTTTTTGGTGAAATTTATGTCCTAATAGTGTTTTAGCAGTGTGGGACACATTTTAAGACTGTCAACAGTTCAAAATATATGTGTTTTTGTGTTTAGTGACCCTTTAAGTTTTCACTTAAAGGAGAACACACACGGAGAAAATGAGGTGTCTTACGTTTTGAAGCACTGGTCGAGACTGATGTTTTGTATGCTTTTCAGATGTCGTGGTTTGGTTCCAAGCCCTCACCCAAAGGTATCATACGACCTTCCATCTCAGGAACATCAAGCTGGAGCTGAGAAACCCAAAACGGCACATCTCTGAGACCAGGTGAAAGAGGGAACAGTAAATGATCTCAGTAGAAAAGGGAACAATTGCTGACTCGGCAGTTTCAGTCTCTGCCTCAACAGTTGCTATGTAGCTCACGCCCTTTAAAAGAACGGGACACACAAACAACTCTGCGTTTTTTCGCTAAAATATTGCAGGGACTTGAAAACCAAGGCTTTATGAACATCGTCTTTTTGTGACTTGGGGAGTTTCGTCGTCTAATGAAATGAACTCAAGTTTCATCTGCTTAAAAAAACAAAACAAAAACAAAAAACAATCATCGCTTTTTCCAACATCCTGTATTGACTCGATTATTTTAACTCTGTGAAATCAAGGCTGGGCCAATCATGAAGAGAATGATCCTCCAAAACGTCAGTGAAAATCAGGAATGGGTGTCATGAAACATTACTTTAAATCTCGTTTTTATGTGTAAATTACAAATCCATACATTCCATACAAGTATTTATATTTGGGAATACTGTATATAAGTGATGATGAGAGGGATTATAAATCGGTGGAGACCTAAAATACGTTTTTGTCATCCTACACAGTCATTACTCTCAAATCTGTGTGTGTATGTGTGTGAGATTCTTCACTGTGGGCTTGAAACTGTAATATAGAGGCATATATGCACAGATTGAGGAAACGAGCATGCATGCCTTATACTGAATGCTTTGATTGTACTTTGGTTTTGAGTGTATACTGAAGCATTTGAGTACACTTGAAGCCTTAAAATACTGTCAGCTGCATTTATTTCTCCGAGAATAAGTCGATAAAATCCTGCGGAAGGGAAAAAGTCAGTGTTTTGCTGTCAGGACTGTGTCATTTTGTGTGTTTTAACACTTCAGCAGCACTAAGGTTTAAACATCGAATGAAAACTTCTGGTGAAAATAGCTGAATTGAGCCTCTACGGGACAAAAACCATGTTTCCTGTTTTTAGAAAAAAAAAGAAACCCAAAGAATTTCTGTTTTATGTATGGACTGATGAAATTCCGAAGCTAACCGTGCTGTAAATGAAGGTTCTCTGGAGTCCTATTGGAGAATGCTGATAAACGCCCTGTGTATGAACATTGTAGGAATAATATTTTTATTTAAACATCCAAAAAATGCACTTTTTTTATTTACAACTGTATTCATATTTCGTTTGTTATGATACTGTAGCCATCATCACAGTATCCCATTGCCTCTGTTTTCAGCAAAATACCACTACAATCCTTACTTTGGTTTCAGTTCATGGTTTGTCAGGAGCATCAAAACTTGATTAAAAAATTAAAATCTTTCTTAGTGACTTTGTCTGGTGAAGCATTTGTGCTTTCGGTGTGTTTAGCAGTGCTGACTGTGGTGTTTTGGGTTTTAATAGTGGATCTGAAAGTGATGGGAGACATTTTTTAATCATTTTAAAACAGAATTAACATTATATCAATAATTGCCAATGGATTTCAATATTGTTTACAAGGTAGCAGAGGTGTAAAGAGTACCTGAAAACCATACTTGAGTACCTTACAGTAAAAATTACTCCAATACAAGTTACAAGTCGCCAATTCCAATAAGACTTAAGTAAAAGTATCCGATTTTAAAAGAACTTAAGTATTTTACTCATACTGAATGTAGGCTCAAAGAACACTAAGAAAGGTTTTATTTCCTGATATTGAAATTAAATTGAACACCTCAATGTTTCAAAATGGCAGAACAAAATAGATTTAAAAAAATAGAACAAAAAGTCTCAACCTCAAATGTTCAAAATGGCACAAACAATAAATAAAAAAGTAGTAAAAAAACGTAGTAAAAAAAATCTGAGCTGACTTTCATGTGATTCATAGTCATGTCGTGTTGCAGTGGTTTTTACCATATCAGTAACTGTATTAAATGCACTTAATTCACATTAAATTAACATTAAATACTCTTACTTCAATGTATTTTCTCAAATTTTACGATAAATTCTTAAAAGCACTTATTTTCGTGGTTTGTGGCAAATGAAGTAGACACTGCATCCTGTAAGAGCCATTCTGCACATCGGCAAATGAAAACATTTCTTTCAGATAAGGCCATGGATCATCAGTGCTGGTACTGCTTGATGTGCCGACTTCGCTAATTAAACACCTGGCAAGCTGCTAATTCACGTGATTTAGCTCATAAATAGCATACAGTACCTTCAGCAGCCTGCAGATGGCGATATTGCCTCATCCGCCCAAGAAATTAGCTGTGGTAGATAGAAATGCTAACTTGTCGCTTACAATCACAATGTAACGAGTAACTATAAGCGTCTGTTCAAATGTAGTGGAGTAAAGAGTACATGTATTCAATCAAAAAATGTAGTCAAGTAAAGAGTAAAGGTTGCTTATATTTTTATTACTCAGTACAAGTACAAAGTAGCCAAAAAAAATACTCAAGTAAGGTAACGAAGTCCATTTACTTAAGTACTTTACACCACTGCTAGGTAGTGACCATATTCTTGGAGATAAACCATTTATTATACACTGATGAGCAGGAGCACATGGAATCTGTAGAAATCACAGAAATTCTCAGACATATTTGTTGAGATTTTTGTAAATGGGATTTTTGATTTATTTTTAGATGTTAAAACATTTTTACATGTTTAGTTTTTTTTTTTTTTTTAATACTCTTCATTACTAAGGCCCAATCGCAATTCTATTTTTGTACCCCTTCCCCTTGGCCCTTGAAACCGAGTGTGAAGTGGAAGGGCTTCAAAATGTACCCCTAAGAAATGGGACATAACTACAGCACCTGCACATGTCATCACGATCTCTGCTTCATATGAGATCTATGATGATGACTGCTGTAGTTATTACAGTTGCTTTATTTTGTGGGATTTATCTTCAGGAAATCACTGAAGGCATGTATTATGTTATCATGATGATATAATGCGGCAATAAGATCGTAACTGTACTGTGCTTTTACACAGTGGCCATATTCATTCATGTAAACACACAAAAACAACATTAACATTATAGCAGACACTTTAAAAAGCTCATTCCCAGCCACTAGACTTTTCTGACAGGGTGTTTCAGTGTCATCGAGTGTCAGAATGTTGTGGGACTGCTATACACAAGTAATTATAAAAAATACGTTTTTTTTATGATGGATAGTAACAGTCCATCATGCTTTGCCATGTTTGGGGATTTGTACTGTAGCTGCAGATCAGAGTGCCAGGTGACCTGTGGGTGGGTGGGTGGTGGTGGTGGGGGGGGGGGGGGGGGGGGGGGGGATTGGAGGGTGGTGGGGGGGGGGGGTGGGGGGGATTGGAGGGTGGTGGTGGTTGGGGGGGGATTGGAGGGTGCTGCAGATCTGCAGAGTGGATGCGCGTGTACTGAAGAGCGGTGTTATTGCGCGCGTACTGATCAGCTGTGTTGTCGTGCGCGTACTCAAGAGCGGTGTTGTCGCGCGCCTACTGAAGGGCGGGACCAAAGGTGTGCCGCGTCGCGGGGGCACTTTTGATCATTTTGGAAGGGCACTTTTTATCCAAGACTAAAAAGGGCATGTGCACTACACAGGTTGAGCCCTATGTGTGCACGTGCCTGCTATCAGTAAAAGACCATCCGCTTGTTAAGTGGTGACGTGTTGGTGACGTATGTAATACTGTTTCCGGGTCCAAGCTGCCATTCATTTGAATTTTATTCCTATGACAAATTTAATTTTATATAAAATCATAGTGTCCCGAGGGCTCGTGTTTTTAGCCTAATGTTAACTTTTTAGTTCTTGCGTTTGCATTTAAATCCAAAAGTACTCAAAGTTGTATTTTCATGTGAGGATTATCCGGCTAGACAAAACGTGTAAGTGTAATGAACAATGTTTTAACACAGAGCTTATTATTTGCAATTTTCAAAAAGCCTATGGGAAAATCCTATAGACCAATTACCATGTTTGTAATCATTCAGGATGCGCGCGCAGGGAGGTGGCAGAAAGCAACCAGGAGCCCTAGCATTTACAGCGAGGGAATGACATCAGATGAGGTGCAGAGTTTGTTGTTGTCTTAGAAATAAGATATATTACTTGCATATTATTTACATAATGCTTACAGCATATTATAACAGCTCGTCACCCAGTGACAAGCACAGTGATTCAGCTAAATTAATGTTAAAGTGAGCGGCGTTTATCTGACAGCTCCATTTGCGATAGCACTCTCCCAATGAATATTGGATAAGACGAAGTGACCAAGCATCCAGCCCGAAATATACAATCTCATTGCGGCTCCGGGTGATTTTACAAGAGAAGTTAAAGGTCTACAAGTCTTTAGATGCCAACAATTTTGTTCTTTGTGGTCATGTGCAAGAAATAATGCTCCATGATGGCCAGATTCAAGAGCTAAACACCGAGATTCCGCCTAGCCAAAGACAAGGAAACAAGACGGAGCTAACGTTATACAAGGCCTGGGTAATTAATCACCAACACGCAAAACAACTGCATTCTGACAGTGAACTTCACCTGTACAGCTGGGTATGTGAATCTACACATAAAGGTAAAGTTGGTTTTATATTTGCACATTCAGACTTTATCCTTAATAATATAATTTCATAAGAATATTATTTGCAAACTCTAAATAGCGAAATAATATTAGCAGCAGCCAATGACTATCAAAGTACAACATTGTTCACAGTCATATAAACAGTGCTATTGTTTTCAAGTCACACTTGCAGGTTATTTCAGGCCAAATATTCATAGTGTCGTGGTAAACAATATAGGGAATGTGTCACAAGTTGTTACTGAATCAATGTGTGAATATAAAACCAAGTTTACCTTAATCAACGTAACTTTCACGTTTCATTTTTAGCATTCAGTGTCCGCAGTTTAATTCACCATATGTAACTGTTTTTGCTGAAATCATTTCTGTAATCAAAAACGAGTGATGTGTATGATTCAGCATAGCGTGAACTGACCTGATATGACATGAGAACTGCAGAGCATTTCTAATTAGCTCCTCACTTCATTCAGCTCCCATTGAGCCGAAGACGTCTGCAGTTGGTATTAAAGCAGTGTGTGGTGTATGGTAAAAGTTAAGTTTTCCATTTTTGGACTCGGAATTCGGCATCCTACCGCAAAACACGACATCTTTCCCATTGCAGCATGTCTGTTTTTTGCAACCAGGGACCCGTGTGACGTAGGTTGGTAATTGGTCTATAGGGATTTTATCAAGGAAACCAGTTTTATGCTAGCAGCCGATTAGCCTACAACAGGGGTGTCAAACTAAGTTCCAAAAGGGCCGAAGCCCTGCACAGTTTAGTTCCAACACACTTTCCTGTAGGTTTCAAACAAGCCTGAAGGACTCAATTAGTTTGATCAGGTGTGTTTAATTAGGGTTGGAACTAAACTGTGCAGAGCTGCGGCCCTTTTGGAACTGAGTTTGACACCTGTGGCCTACAAGATTGTTCCTTCACTCTATTGACATACAATAGCATGTGCTTTTAGGAACTGGATCCAGGAGCAATAAAAGATGGATGGCTGGTCTGGCGACTCCTGTCTTATTTCACATCACATGAACATCTGTGTAAAAGTGTGTAATTTACATGGAGTGTTCTGCAGGGATACACTGGGTTCAATTATAAGCTATGTTTCCTTGCACCTGGTTTTATGGGCATTTTGGATTATTGCATAAAAATTGCTTAATAGAAACACCAAGATGTGCATAAAGATTGCAAATGTGCATTACCTATGAAGGAAACACATTTACCAAATAAATTCCATGATATGTGTGACGGAGACCAGCTACTAAGTGCTGTGCAGGTAAACGACAAATACTGGAGGCCATGGTCTTTAGCCTCCTTGGTAGAGCAACCGACTCCCATGTGGAAGGTCGCTGGTTCGATACCAGCTCGGAGCGGGTTGGGTGGCGTAGGACCAGCAGGGTTACATTGGTGCCGTGACCCGGATGGGAGTGAGGCTTAGGGGGGTGAGTGTAGCGGAGGCCAGCTAGTGAGTGCTGTGCAGGTAAACCTCACTCCTCTGACCTCTAAAGGTGCTCTAGTGTCAGATGCTAGAGGCCATGGTCTTTAGCCTCCTTTTTAGAGCAACCGACTCCCATACGGAATGTCGTCGGTTCGATACCATCTCGGATCGAGTTGGGTAGGACCGGCGGGGTTACATATGCATTAATAAAAATAAAAAATTCCATGTTAGCCATTAAGCAACAAAGCTACAGTCACCGGGCAGACAGAAGTACTGCCCATGATGCAAATCAGCATCTATTGCTCAGTGAATTTTGACGCACAAATAAAGCAAACTTAGTGTTCACGCGGCTCTTTACAGAAGAATATCGCAAATCACCACGCGTACCGCGTTTGGTGTGAAAACAGCATAAAAGTTTGTTTTAGCTAGACCTGAAGATCTTTAACTGGCTTTTTTGGTCAGTTTAATTAGGGTGGGAGCTATGCTCTGTAAGACAGTCTTGATGTAAACTGAGGCTGTGTAAACAAAGTGTATCTATGAGTATATGTTGATCTGTAAAAAAACAAAAAAAAATACACTCTTAAATGTCCTTTATTGCACCAGGCACTTCACAATAACCCGACTCAACCCCACACTACGAGTTGAACCAAAATTTCACCACCTAAATCAGGGGTCACCAACCCTGTTCCTGGAGAGCTATCTTCCTGCAGAGTTCAGTCCCAACCCTGATCAAACACACCTGAACCAATTAATAGAACCTAAAGCAGAACTTGATAATTACAAACAGGTGTGTTTGGTCAGGGCTGCAACTGAAATGTGCAGGAAGGTAGCTCTCCATGAACAGGGTTGGTGACCCCTGACCTAAATACTATATATATTAAACATTATCCTCTTTCTGTACAATAAGAAAAAAAATGAGAGTTGGAACTGAAAAAAATGAGAACTACACATCCGAGAGTGCCAACTAAGAACAAGCAAATACAACTTTCATATTAATCACAGTATTTAATGTCCTGAAACTGCAGCTCAAGGCTTATAAAGCCAAGTCTCATCACCGTCCTTCTGTTGCAGTTCACAGACTGTCGCACAATCGTTCACCTTCATAAGTCGAGTAGTGTCTTCCATAATAACATATTGAAGAATCAATAATTTACATTAAATATCATACAGTATTTTTTCGTGAAATAGGCGGTTGGGCATGAGTGGTTTTCCCCCAGATAAGGTTAAATTGTGAGAGAGGAGAAGTTGTCCATGTCTAAGAAATCCCGTGGCTGGTTAACACTCCCATTCGTCCAGCTTCTCAGACAGATTTTCTTGCAGTTAACACTCGTACAATGGACCCCAGGCCCCCCACAGCGAAAGCCTGAGTGAGAATATGAAGACAAAAAGAGAGATAAATGTTTTAAATGAAAAAAAAAAGAAGAAGAAAAGAATCAGACCTCTTCCAAGACTGACCTTTTCATGCCACTGCAGCAGGATGGCACTGCTGTTGTCTGTGGGCTTCTCGAAGCCTCTGTAGATGTACTTCATCAGCAGATCCACTCCGTTCTTGTCCAGAGACTTTACCGCTGGCTCAATATCGCTGCTTTTAAATGCAGTCAGCACTCGTAACACCACCGCCTGTGCCCGCTCCTGAGAGAAGAGGAGGCGCACAACACTAATTAAAAGGGGAATCTATACTAAGCTGTCTTAGGATGTCCACACATTATTTTTCCTCCATTAAACAAAAAAATCTTGTCCACACATCCATTGTTAAATTTTGTCCACATGAAAATGCAAAAACGGGCACATTGTGAAGCACCGTCAAGAGCTAGTCAAAGCAACTTGCGGTGATAAACTCTTAATTGTAAAGTCATGTTGAGAAATCAGAACTTGACCCTTGACCCAACATGACCCATCCGCCATTGCACAGATGCACATCTTGTAAACCAGGGTTTTTCAAAGTCTAAGACAGTGGGCCTCCCTTTTGACACAACTTATCCATTGGCGCCCCCCTCCTCCCAAACACGCACGCACACACATGCACACACACACACACACACACACACACACACACACAAAATTCTGGAGGTTTTCCTGCTACCTCATCATGCTTGGTTTCAAGGTGTCGCCGAAGTTTAGCGGGTCTCATGCTGTCATTAGCCAAAATATCTTGACAAACCACACAAAAAGGTTGTGGTTCATCAGTTGGTCCTGTCCACGTAAATCCTAAACTCAAATACTGATCATCAGACCGTCGTCTTTTGGGTTTAAGCCCTGAACTTGAAGGCTTTGAATCGGGGGGTCTCAGAAACCAATCCATTGTATTAGCAGGCATATACCTGTCTTGGCGGGCTTGCCAAACAGAAGCGAATTCACAGCTATGGCCTTCTGGGTAAAAAAGGTTTTCTTATTTTTGACGTATTTTTTTAGCTTTGTTTAATTAAAACGTTTAATTATAATAAAATATACATATAATAATATATTATTATATATAATATAACTTAATAATTATATTTTTATTATATAATATTTTTTTCCCGCGCCTCCCCTGACATACTCTGGCGCCCCCCAGGGGAGGCGCGCCTCACACTTTGAAAACCCCTGTTGTAAACAATGGAGATTGCGGTGCACTCTGCCACCACACAAAAGAAATGATGGTGCGGATGAGCATAAACATTTTGATAGATACAAGAATACACAGACCACCGTGTTTTTTTTTTTTTAATCTTCATTCTGACAGGAGTTTTCAAAAAGTTTCGATTTCAGAGACCCCATTTTGCAATTGTGTGTGGACGAACAACCAAAACTCATAGAAAAAGCCGCCATTTTAAAATGATCCCTGTTCGTGTGGACGGGGCCTAAAACCATTCACACACAAATTGAACTGATGCTGTAGAGCAGGGGTGACCAAACTTGGTCCTGGAGGGCCGGTGTCCTGCATAGCTGACCTCCAACTTCCTGGAAATTTCTAGTATACCTAGTAAGAGCTTGATTAGCTGGTTCAGGTGTGTTTAATTGTGGTTGGAACTAAAATATGCTCCAGGACCAAGTTTGGACACCCCTGCTGTAAAGAATAAAGTCTATATGTATATATATATTTTTTTTTATTTTTTTTTTTCTTTTTTTTTACACACAAAAGCATATAAGTATTCATGGACTATTTTGCCAACGTTGTTGGTACCTTTCTGACCCAACTCGTCATGACCCTTACTTTCTAATGCCTCATTCACACTAGCAGCGACTTTGTAGCTGCCTGTCGCTCTGGGTGGCAATCTGCTGCAAATGTAGGTCTGTGTAGGTTTGAAGACTACAACTGGCCTCTGAGTGAGTTAAGAGAAGATTACATGAGGTCTACTGGTGCTCCTATTGGCTGTCGCTCAAGAAAGTTGCTCTTCATTTGCATAAATCTGAAGGATTCTCAACTCTGTTGCGTTGCTAGACACGCCCCCCTGCTCAACAAAGGTTGCTGTCGGTCACGTAGGTAACCGGAAGTCGCTCACTCTTCATTAAAATGAACGGTCGCTTGACGATTTGCCACTGTGAGTTGCTCGTAGTGTGAATGAGGCTTGATGTAGGTCAAGCCTATGCATGGGCCGGTATAATATTCCGACAGTATGATAACCTTGGATAAAAATATCACGGTTTCACGATATTGTAATTTCTGCTCTAAAATAAGGTATTTTTGAACTTTTTTTTCCAATTTGAACACAATGTATTTTACTCTGAGAAACTTTTAAAATATTTTGGAGCAGTAAACATGTCAGGCTAAATAGTTCAAGTGAATCATTAGTTTTAGAAACAGATTTATTCACAGTTAAAAAAGCTTCTTTGGATTTATTTTCTATAAACTATAAAAATGGAAATAAAAAATCTTTCATATATCTTAGGATTGGTATAGCAGAAAATTTTGGCGGTTTTAAAACCCTGACTTTTCCAAACCGCAGTATACAAAACGCAGAAAACTGTTATTGTCCCATGCCTAGTCAAGCCTCCTTTCCACTGCACATGACAAATGAGACAAGAAGTCATTCATTTCCAATGGAGAGTAGTCTGGGAGCTGTGTGAAGTTTCGATCATCTCCGTATGCTGACAATTTGGATCCGAATTGAGCTGTGGATCAGTTGAAATACTCCTGCGACTAGACCAGGGATGGGCAAACTTGATACTTGAGGGCCGGTGTCCCTGCAGAGTTTTGTTCCAACACTAGTCAAACACACCTGAACATGCTAATCAGTGTCTTTAAGATCACAAGAAATCTATAAGCAGGTGTGTTTGATTAGGGTTGGAGCTAAACTGTGCAGGACACCGGCCCTCCAGGACCGAGTTTGCCCACCCCTGGACTAGACCGTATGCAACCAGCCGACCGGATGTGATGTATTTCAATGTTGTCCAAGCAGGTCTGTGCGCGCGAGATGAAAACTAGAGGAGTGTTTTTCTGTATTTTTTGAATGAAAAAAAAGTCTTTATTAAAAAACATTTCTATTCATAAATAATCCAGTATTTTTTAGCGGTATATGAGTTTCTAGTATTTAGTCATTCAACCATGTTGAATGCACAGTGAATAGTGGCTCTTGCTTTTGCACTGCTTTATTTCGGACACTGCAAGAACGGCTTCTCTACCATGGTGCATATCAGAACTGAAAATTCTGTGCGACTGCCACATGGGGGCATGTTCCGACAGTCATGTTCAAACGTTGTGTGCAATGGAAAGCCGGCTTCAGAGAATTCTCAGATTTTATCAAAAATTATGAATGACATTCATCATAATTATTTGAATAGCACAACAATGAGTAATCAATACCAATTTTAACTAAGTCAATCTAAGCATACTTAACAATCTTGCTGGAGTTAGTGGGTCATCTAGCTACTTGTCACCTACTATTTTATAAATACTAGAAGTGTAACGATCTTTTTCAATATTCACATGAACTCAATGGGACTGCAACTATTTATGCTGCACTTAAGCCTGGTTTATACTTCTGCGTCAAGTGACCGGCGTAACCCACGGCGCATGCAACGCGCGTAGCTGTGCATTTATACTTCTGCGCGCTGTCTCTGTTGGTCTGCATTAACACTTCCAAAACACTAGTTGGCAGTGAGGTGTAAATGTTCCTCTGTGTCGAGTTTCTTCGCTGCTTTTTTGCTTTTCCTGAGCACTTCCTGGATGTACAAGTGGCTCAAATTCGCTCATTTTGAGGCAGGAACCGGCGGACGTGCAACAACTTTAACTATGAGGTAAACACAAAACAAAACTTTTCATCTGGAGCTCCTTCACGGGACTCAACACTTGTAAACAATCGCTCCATCAGGCTCGCACCATTCGCGCGGCTCTCGGTCCCGCCCAGACTCGTCAGCGCTACCAAGCCGACCAATCACAGAGCTTACGCTATGCGTCGTTGCGACGTGTAGTTACATTTTTTGAGAGGTGCACGTCAGCGACGCCGACGGCAAAGGGCTATGCGTCAGCGCCATAGCATACGCCGGCGTTTGACGCAGAAGTAAAAAACAGCCTTTAATCGACAGACAGACAGACAGTTAGATACTGCCGTCAAATACAATTTTTTTTTAGAGTGTATAGTATAGAATCAGCCATATTTGAACACTGGGATGGGCATGACCTAAAACTCATAAAGCACAGTTTTGTGAGGCTTCCAGGAATCCAGAGACCTAAACTTAACAAATTTCTAGGTAAATAGTGAAATACCTGCTATGATGGTCTATTTTGCAATAAGAGGGCACCAAATATAGTGTTCTTAAACATCGAAGCAATAAATCAAACTGTCTGAGAAACGGGCTCTTACTTTCACTGCTGGATTCTTGGAGTTGATTGGTGGATTCCTCAAGGCGATGTGAAATGCTGTCATCATGTCCCCTGTGCATCACAGTTAGTTAAGAAAAGCTGACCAATCAGACAGTCACTTTTAAAAAAAAGCCAGAAGAGCATTCTGAAATCTAGAGTAAATGTTTCTTGCATAGTTCAAATAGTTTGGAAAGAAATGCTGGAGATCAGTTTGAACATATCTGATCTTGATCTCACTGCTCACTGGGTTTGGCTGTTATTTTCTTGAGGGTTTTGCGTGCCCGTAAACAAACCTAGGGGAAAATGATTTCAAAGAACACATTTTTGTGAAGAAAAAAAGAAGATATTGTCAAAACAATGACATTACAGGACCATATGCAGGACTGAACAACAAGGACTGCCCGGGGCCAGAGTGCAAGATGCCCGGGACAGTAGACAGGATTGTTACTGGCCCGATTGGTGCTGCTTTGTCTCTAAAGTTGAATCTGTCTGCAGCTATTTGTCAATTTTCATAGATTTTCATTGTCTTAGAATCGAAATACAGTTTGTGCTTTTACGCAATTAAATGCTGCTGTCTCTGTGATGTCATAAACACCAATCTTATCTGATTGGATGTTATGAGCAAGTTGTTTTTTTTCGTAACCTGGTAAAAAGCAGTACAACGAAGAGACAGCAACATCAAATTATAAGGATAAAAGAAATGTTTGTTTCTAACATCCTGGAAGCAGACATTTACATGGGTACAACATGACAAAAATAATGAAGTGAAGTTTTGCACAGTTTGCCATCAGTTTGGCAGGTCAGCCACCTTTTGTTATTTGCAATAAAATACCTGCAGATTTTCCATACTGCTCTTTTTGTTTGCAGAACACTTTGAATTTTGTACATTATACATTCATTAGTGTTATAAAAATATTTTAATTCTAGATTCACACAGATTTTTGACACATTTTAAATATATGTGGCTAAGAAATAGCTATTAACTTTTTTTTTTTTTTTTTTTTTTTTTTTTTTTTAAAGTGAAAATATTGGCAGGGCAAGTGAAAATTTGAGCCACTGGCCCAATCGGGCCAATAGAAAAAATCCATAGCGGTAAACCCTAATATGTGCGCAGCAACTGATTCTTCACAAAATGACATCGCCCCTTGGTGGCCTGGAATGTAAATTATAGCATTTAGTTGTTCGAAGGTCATTGTAAATGGCAATCGTTTTGACAAAAATTTCTGCAAAACTTTTCAAAACTGCATAAGGAAAAAGTTACCCCAAACGTATGACAACAAAAGTGAAAAGAACTTTTAATGCAGAGTCAACTATAAACAAATCAATTGTGGGTTAAATTCTCGGAAAAGTGCTAACTTTGATTATCTGTAGAAGCATCATTCTTTTTGTGTAAACATCCTGATCATCTGCACAATAATTCAAATGAAAAAGTCACAAATATTAAAAAAAATTGCCAAAACAAACCTTTAAAATGGAGTAGTTCATTTACTGATGACCCAAATAGACAGTTCATATCTTTAATATTAGTGAGGAGGAAGACATCACGCTCAGACCTCTTTAAAGCACCAAAAATGGATCATTCAAGTCACAAACGCTGATGACCTGATTAAATAAATGACATCATATACACAGTTAAAGGGAAAGAGAGTTTCTCTTCAGTTTCTCTTTCTCAGAAACTAAATTGTTTACTTTCTGATTTAGAAACTTTGACATTTTATTTAAAAACATAACAAAACTGAATGACCCTGTCATCTTCAAGGTTATTTAAAAATCTAATGTAAATAGAAAAACGTAACATTTCAAGCCACCAATTTACTGTACTAAATGATGTGCATTCAATACTGAAATCAACTAAATGAGTCTTTGCTAAACATTATGGAAGGACCAAAGACAATAGGTCAATAACTAACTAATAAGAATATATTACCTATAATTATTTATTATTATTATAAATATTTTTTCATCATAATAACAAAGTAATCAGTGGTCAACCAAATAAATGGTAGCTAAAAACTCTACAGAAGAAAACGTAAAAAAATAAATAAATATTGAAACATACAAATATACAACTTAATATTATTTTAACAACTATATATGAGCAATTCCATGCAAATGTAGACCTTGCCATGAAACAAAAAAAAAATTAGGTTTTCATTAAAATACACCAAAAGTTTTTTTTTTTTTTTTTAAGCAAGTATTTTACAATACATTAAAAATACTTAAAACTGTCTCTGTCAGTGTTTTCAAACTATTAGAATTTGATTTACCAAAGTCACACAAGTGGACATTTTACATGTCACTTCCATAGCAGAGAGACATCACATCCATAAAGGCACTTTTTCCTCATAAATGCAAAAATGTAAAAAATAAATAAATAAATAAATAAATTTAAACCAATCATGGTTGCTCTGTAGTGAGCCAACTCTTCTCCTTTTGATTAACATTACTTCTTTTGGGTTGTGCAGTTTAATTCAATAGAATTTCTTCTTCTACAAAGTATGTTGTATACTGTAAACTTGCTGAATTTTTTGGTCACATCCTCAACGCATGTTTATTTTCCTCATTTAAAGTACAAAACATGTTTACAGATTGATATCTTTCTGATCTCATCACTCTGTGGTTAGCTGCTCTGGAAAATATAATAAGATGTTTCAATATAATGTTAACATGTACTTTCTCTTTGAATTTATGTGTTGAGTTTTTACTGCAAATGTCACATCCATAATGCTGGAAATGCTCATAAATTAACATAACAACAAAATAAACAAAATAGAAGCAAACCAAACTGAAACTAGCAAAATATCCTAATAAAAAAATAAAACCTATAAACCATTTTTAAAAATATATATTTAATTTACTACTATAAAGATTCAGTGCATGCAAGAAAAACTTATTGTATGGCAAAATAGGTAAATGCACTTTAAAACTAAATATTTTTATTGTGTGTGTGTATATATATATATATATATATATATATAAATATTAAAGCAGCACTTAAGTATAAAACAAATCATGCAACATTATACTTTAGTTTGTTTAATTTAACCATTAATTAATTTATATTACATCTTTGTATTTAAGTAAGAATTGATATATCATTTGGAGTGAACTAAACCGAAAATAAAAACAAACCTAAATATTACTGAAAATATTTAAACAAACAATAATATAAGTATACACTTTATAATATTTAACAGCAAAAAATTGTATTATTCTACTTCTTAATAGGAACAGCACAAAACAAAATAACTAACGATACACCTGTCAAATAAATGTCTATTCCTCAATTTCTCCAAACCTAAAGCGTCAATAATGTACGAGGAACATCTAAATCAGGACAGTGTTGTTTATGGATGACCCAATAAGAGATAACCTCCCCCAGACTAATTTTCTACATATTTTTCCATCAGCATAAGGAGTAAATAAGCACAAATATTCTGAAGGATATTGCCTGATGAGATCGTCCACCTCACACGCGTCCGGTCCCTGCTGCTCGGCCGCCTCGTCTTGGTCGTCCACGAATTTATTCTCGTCGTACTCGTCGATATCGACTCCCCGGAACCGTGAGGACAGGGTGTTTTTCGCCATGAGGAGGAGCCGCTTTAATCAGTCGATCTATCGGTTGGGGGAGTCCGGGAAAGCGCGGTGGCGGGACGGGTGGGGTGCGCGCGTGTGTCCGCTTCCCTCAGGCACGGGCCGCCGCCGGTCGAAGGTTCATCTGTCAGCAGGAAGGTGCGGCTGTTCCTTCTCCACCGGCCCGAGCATCTCCACCACACATTCCTGCAGAGCGGACGAAAATCCCGACTGGGGCGGAAGCGGAATTACACAGCATAGTTACGCTTGGGACACGGAGTTTCCGTTTCCTGTGATGCAGCGATGGGAGTTCGATGGCTTTGCTGAAATATTCCACCCTCCACATACAGTTGAAGTCAGAACTATTAGCCCCCCTAACCTCCCCCCACCTTTGATTTTCTTTTTCTTTTTGAAATAATTCCCAAATGATGTTTAACAGAGCAAGGAAATTTTCACAGAATGTCTGAAAATATATAAATTATATATATATATATATATATATATATATATATATATATATATATATATATATATATATATATATATATATATATATATATATATATATATATATATATATATATATATATATATATATATATATATATATATATATATATATATAATTCAGGGGGGCTAATAATTCTGACTTCAATTGTAAATCAGTAATATGGAACAACGGAACAACAAATTATAACCTTTAAAAATAAATTATTATTTTATAGAAATTGGTACAATAATGATATTATATTGGTGAGACAGTTAACGTTATTCAAAAGTAATGGACACCTTTTTACTTATTGCGAATGTCTCAATTATTACATGATCCCCATAACTGCTAAATAATTTGCAATAATATTTTGCAAATAAGAACCACATTGTTGCCTAAATGCTAATCTTTTTGGAATTCCTTATTTGAGCAGATTTAGTGGAAAAAAGTTTAGAACCTAGTAAATACTGTCTCACCAATAAAGTTAAAGAAGTAACAAATAAACTAATTTAATTTATCCAGTGAAACAAGTTGTTAAAATATTTTTTAGAGACATGGAATCTACGTGCACGTTTTGTAAATTAGAGGAGGAATCGATAAAACACCTGTTTTTTTGAATGCACATATACCCAAATGTTTTCGTTCGATGTTGAATATCTTATATTCAAACTTACAAAATTAAAAATTCAGTTTTCTTGTAAAGATGCTGTTTTGATATACAATAATAAGAGCAAAACTTTGGAGCAAAATTAGTTTATTATTTAATGATAATTTATGGGAAGTACCATGTACACAAACAAAAATGGTCCAATGTTAAGCCTAAAATATTTTTTTTTGTTCACAATTAATCTTAAGCATTATATCGAAACCCTGAAAGACACATAAAAAAATTAATTTGAAATCTTTTTCTTATGTGACTCATTTGTCATTTATTTATCCCCTTTAATTGTATTTATTTATTTATTTATTTTTTCTACTGATTTTTTCATTTGATGTGAAAAAAAATGTAAGCATTATATTCCTCATTTATTGTATGCTATTATTTTTGTTGTGCAAAAATAACAGCCACAATAATTATTCTACCCTTGTAACCCCAACTGTTCATCCTGTGTTAATAGAAGTCTGGGATTTTGAAGAAAGTAAATTTTCATACAAAAAGATTAGAAATCTATTTAACAACATTATATGCCTCTAGCGGTTTATAGAAACCCAACTTCACATCAATTCTCTAAAGATAGCATTCACATGTACTGTAGAACTAAATATTTAAAGTTTCCTCTCTCTCCAAAAGCTAAAGAAGTTCATTTAAAAAATTTAAGAGGGACATATCCATCAAATGAATATTCAAGAATTAGAATTGGATTTGGGTCTAATAAATGTATGTTTTGGGATGATATTGAAACAACAGATCATTTGTTTTTTCAATGTTTGTGATGCAGTATGGTCAGATGTTTATGACTGGCTTTACCCAACGATTCCACACCTCAGGATCTTTGACTTGTAATGGACAGTAAGGAAGATGCCGTTCCAATCAACAACATCCTTATGCTTTTAGAATTTTACATACATAAATCAAAATATTTGAAGGTGAAACCAATGTTTTGAGCTTTTTATAATAACATTCTTTCATATATAAAATCACATATAATGAAAACAAAAAAAATCTTTAGTATGAATTACAGGATAACCCACAGTCCTTATTTCCCATTATTTATAAGATTTAGTTATGTATATTATTTTACCTAAAATTATTTTATGTAACATATTATTTGTTCTTTATTTGCACCTGTGTGTACATTACTGTATGTTCAATTACAAAAATTAGCATTGTTCATTTTTAGCTTGAAAGTACATAAATACTGTGTAGCAATCACAAGAAAAAAGTTAATACAATTCCAAAACGTCCAAATAGCATCAGGAAGAAAAAAAAAACAAAAAAACAATTATAACAACATACCCTGATAAACAAATTAAAATATGATTAAAAATAAATGAATAAATAAAACAATCATAATAAAATTAAAACAAAGTACAAAATAAAATCAGGGAAACTTTTAATTTGTAATAAAGAAAAAAATTTCACCATTTAATAGATTGAAGTGCATATATTATTCATTCATTCATTTTCTTTTTGGCTTAGTCCCTTTATTAATCAGGGGTCACCACAGCGGAATGAACCACCAACTTATCCAGCACATGTTTTACACAGCGGATGCCCTTCCAGCTGCTACCCATCTCTAGGAAACCCATCCATACACAGTCATTATCATCACATACACTATGGACAATTTAGCCTATCCAATTCACCTGTACCGCATATTTTTGGACTGTGGGGGAAACCGGAGCACCCGGAGGAAACCCACGCAAACGCAGGGAGAACATGCAAACTCCACACAGAAACGCCAACTGACCCAGCCGAGGCTCGAACCAGCGACCTTCTTGCTGTGAGGCGACAGCACTACCTACAGCGCCCGTGCGTCACCTGATTGAATAAATTAAAATATACAATTATATCATTTTTTGTTGCCCAAATATTAATAGCATAAACAACACCATGAATTTTATAATATTGCATCTATTTACAGCTACTGTACAGTATATGGCAATGCTATTCAAATGATGTTGCTCAAATAGATATTTTAAAATTGAACTTGCTGAAATCTTTTGCAGTGTCACTTTTAAAGGCAATTCGCAAATTGAAACAATTAAATTGTGTTCATGAATTCAAATTTGACACCCAAATTGTAGTCCAATAAATAAAGCAAATAAAGTCAACTATTAAACATGATTTTCTAAAAGACTGCCAATAATATCCATAATTAATTAATGAAGTGCTTTAGCCTATTCTTCTGTCTGCATTTTTTTTGTAAAACGGTTGAAAATATATGAATAAACAATTCTGTTTTAACATTAGAAATTACTACAGAGCGTTACACATGCTGCCATTGGCTGCCATAGTATTTATTTGACTAAAATGAATGTCTGTGGCTCTCTAGTCTACATTCTTCAAATTATCTTTTTTTTTGTTCAACAGAAAAATAACTTCACGCAACAGCACTGACCGACCACTAGAGGTCAGCAGATATTTTCTTTTTAATTGATGTTTTTCAAGTAAACGCGTGTCTATTCATTTTTTATTTTGACAGGCGAATCAAAAGTACATCATCTTAAACAGATAAATTAATTTATTAAACAAATAATCACTCTGTATAACATGCAGCACTGCCACATTATGTAGTTAAAGGGATAGTTCTGTAAATTATTCTGTCATTTAAAAATTCTGTCATTTTTAAGCCCAGCCTAATGCCATACGGAGGTCAGTGGTTGCAGGTTTCCAGCAGCATCTCTTTTTTGTTTCCCAAATTATTACTTCTTTTGAGTTCAACAGAAAAAAATAAAAATAAACTCAAACAGATTTGGAACAAGTGAAAGGTGAGGAAAATAAATTTCTATTTGATTCTAGTCATAATCAGTTAATTTAAATCAAAGTTAATGTAAAGGCCTGTAACAGAATTGTAAAGTAGACATTGGCGTACAGAGAAATGAAACAAAGCTGAATTGGCGTCTGCCCAACATTTAGTGATTTGACTTATAATGTTTTTTATTTTTGGTTGTTCTGGTGTCTTGCTGCTTAGAACTAATGTGTAAGTTCAGGCTTTATCAATACTCGGCTTACATCCTCTCTTTCATTTTCTGAAGGCAATACAAATATTTACACAGTGCAGTGGAATGCTGGGAGACACAGACCTCTGGGTTTTCCACACAACTGTGCTGCTTACTGTTCATTTAATCAGATTGTGTATGGCACTGATGCCGGTCTTATGTTACAGAGACTCTTTGAACATATTCAGAATCTGAATATTTCAACATGTTCAGCCTATATTACAGTACTGTATATGAATACAAATAAGCAGACTATAAAGATGGATTTAGAGAACTCTTATTTAATGTTTGGTGGGGTATTCTATGGCCTCTCTTTTATTTTTTAAAGAAACAAAATGGAGTAGTATATGTAATCACAGGTTGTAATTGACAGGTAAAACATATACTAGATGTTTACAATTGTAAAATGCTCATGAGAAAAAAAGTAAGATGTTATTAGTTATTATTTTTTAGACATTATTAGTTATTATTTACCCTCATGATTGAGGCAGGAGTGTTCCCCTTCGGGGGGAACTTCAGCACTATAAGTGGATTTGATTGTAAAATCCACGCATTGGGAGGTTCGGTTCAGAAGCTACTCGTCTGAAAGAGTATTGAACGGGCCAATTAAGAATGAATTGGCAGCGCAAGCCTGCGCAGGTGAGCGGCATGAGCAATCAACTGAGTATATAAGCTCACCTGGCGCCAGCAGACGCTATCCTTTTCGCTTCAGAGACTTTCTGATCGAGTCGATGAGGGTTCCTCCAGCTGTGACCAGCGATTCTGAGCGAACGAGAGCATTCTCCCGGTCCAGAGTGTGTACACGCAGTGGCAGACGGTCGAGCTGGGTTTCTCCCTTGCCTGGCGTTCTTTGGGTCCGGTCCTCCAGAGCGGTGCGTATAAAGTTGCAAACTTCACAGAAAGAGCAACACAGTCGTGCAGCACGTCCTTATCAGGACGGCGCTCCGACTGTGCGTTTCTGGATGCGGTGGTTTCCTGTCCTCGGATGATGGGCGCGGGCACTGCGTTACATGTCTGGGGGTCCAGCATGTTAATGCGCTGCTCGCTG